TCAAGGAGGCCTGTGGAAGCTCTCAATGTATTCCACGCTATGCTGGTAAAACCCTTGTGCCTTGCTTCATGCTTCTATGTGTTCTTGTCACTTTTGATATAATCTGAGTTATTCTTTTTGCTTCTTTTTGCCAGTTACAGATTTCATCATATCCGGATATGGTAGCATACCGTTCAATTGCAGTCACACTTGGACAAGCGGGGCATATCAAGGAACTCTTCCATGTGATTGATACAATGCGATCTCCACCTAAAAAGGAGTTCAAGCCAACAACACTTCAAAAGTGGGATCCTCGGCTTGAACCAGATGTTGTTGTTTACAATGCGGTCAGTAATTTATAGTTATCTCATTCTTATGAATAATTTATTCTTGGAAACATAAAGTCACTTGACTGATGTAAATGCTGGACATCTAACCACAGGTGCTCAATGCATGTGTTCAACGAAAGCAATGGGAAGGAGCATTCTGGGTATTGCAACAGTTGAAGCAACGAGGGCAAAAACCTTCTCCTGTAACATATGGCCTCGTCATGGAGGTGAAATATCTCGTCTTCTCATAACAATTAATGTTGCATATCAACTTTATTGAGTAATGGATTTGTGTATGCGTCTAAGCAGGTTATGTTAGCATGTGAGAAGTACAATTTAGTTCATGAATTCTTCAGGAAGATGCAGAAATCTTCTATCCCTAATGCTCTAGCATATAGAGGTATTTTGTGAACTCTTTGTTCTTTTCCTTTACATTATTAGTATTTGAATTCCTCGCTGAAGAGTGACCATTTGTACATGTGATCAGTTCTTGTCAATACTCTATGGAAAGAAGGTAAAAGCGATGAGGCCATACATACGGTTGAGGATATGGAAAGCCGTGGAATTGTTGGATCAGCTGCCCTTTACTACGACCTTGCTCGCTGTCTATGTAGCGCAGGGAGGTGTAGTGAAGGGCTCAATATGGTAAACCTTTGTAAATCCAGTAGTCCTTAAGCTTATAGAGAATTTGACAACAACAAAAAATGCTGATCCTGATCATACCATCCAATGTCAGCTTACGAAGATATGTAGAGTTGCAAGTAAACCTCTCGTGGTGACTTACACTGGCCTGATCCAAGCATGTCTCGACTCGGGAAACATCAAGAATGCAGCTTACATCTTTGATCACATGAAGACGGTCTGTAGTCCAAACCTAGTCACTTGCAACATAATGCTAAAAGGTTATCTACAAGGCGGGTTGTTTGAAGAAGCGAGGGAACTTTTCAAGAAGATGTCAGAAGATGGAAGTCATATTAAAAGCAGCTCGGATTTCGAATCAAGAGTATTGCCAGACACATACACATTCAACACGATGCTAGACGCGAGTGCTGAACAAGAAAAGTGGGATGATTTCGGTTATGCGTACCGGGAGATGTTGCGGCACGGATACCATTTCAATTCAAAACGCCATCTCAGAATAGTACTTGAAGCGAGCAGAGCAGGAAAGGTAAAAAAAAAAAGCAAATGGAAACGTTTTGATTTGACATCTTATGTGATCATCTTGTATGAACAATGTCTCAGCGTGTGTGTGTTTGTGATCAGGAGGAAGTGATGGAAGCGACATGGGAGCACATGAGACGAAGTAGAAGGATTCCGCCATCGCCTCTAATCAAAGAAAGATTCATCAGGCAACTCGAGAAAGGCGATTATATGTCGGCTATATCGTCTCTTGCTGATCTTGATGGAAAAATCGAGGAGACCGAGTTACGGGCATTTTCAACTTCAGCATGGTCTAGGGTCTTGTCCCGGTTTGAGAAAGATTCAGTTTTGAGGTTGATGGACGATGTGAACAGACGCGTGGGATCGAGAAGCCAGTCTACGGATTCAATTTTGGGGAATCTATTGAGTTCTTGTAAAGAGTTTATGAAGAAGAAGAACAAAAGTTTTGTAAGTTAATTAACACGAATCTAAAGCTAAAAAGCAGAGGCTGTGATGATCTGATATCTTAAAAGTTAGAAAATGGTTAGGGAGAAGGGTAATATAGTGTGATTACTAACTACTACGTATAGAAACCATAATGTTTAACGTTTAAAAGTCTTTTTCTAAAAATCTAAGCTTCTGCTGCTTTGATCCAAACAAATATGACTTTATACCTTCAAACATTCGTATACATTTACGTTAAGCTTTTGAAACATTCAGTAGCGTAATTAAGTCGACAAGCCTAATTTATAAAAGTCAAAAGATAATAGTACTATAATATTTGAATGTGAAGGGGATATAAAGGGTATAAATTGCGTCGTATGAATCTCAAGCCACCCAAAAAGGACTAATTAAGGAGACGTGAAGAAATAGAAAAAATCTTAATTTATACACTAGTATAACTAAAATAAAATTAGAGAAAAGGGAATGTATCAACTTGTATGGAGAATAAGGGAAGAGAGTCAACGTACGTTGCATGGAGGCGTTGGGTCGCTTTGCTTGATAAAAATGCAATAGCAAACTTGTATAAATTAAATGTAATGAAGTCAAACACACATTAACCCTATTACTTTCTCATAAATACTTTAGATTATATCCAATTCAATACACAAAAGGTTTGTGTGACAAAGAAAGAGTGAAATCAAAATAAAAAGCGATGCCAAGAAACAACTTGATCAATGTGAGAGAGTTGATGATCGATCGAGCATGTTAGAACAGGTGGGTAAATTAAAATATCAATCATCACCACTAATCACACTAGGCAAGGCAACAAAAATTGATTTTGTAAAAGAGCTTTTGATCATTTGATTTGTAAAAGAGTATACAGACAATTATTATTTGATAAACAGTAATTTCTGTTTAAGATTGTCTTAAATGAGTTTGTAAAATAATCTTCTTTTTTTGTTTGTTAATAATTTGTAAAAGAATCTCGTACACGGAATGTTTTATATACTTTTCGTGTGTATGGTTTGGTTTGAATTATTAAGTTGGTAACTAAACTGAACAAAAATAATGATTTACCAAAAGATAAAATATACAACCAATACGATATTTTCCCAAATCAAAATAAAATAAAATAACATGAAAATGGTGGAGATATTATTATTGAGTTCAAAAAGTTGTAACCGACAACGATACAAAGGAAGGAGAAGAGGAGACAGCGCATTTACAATGGGGTTTGGTTTACGTTAGACAGGCCGGTTCACCTCGTACGATGTCGTTTTAATATATTTGATAAAAAGCCACCAAAACAACGTACGTGGCGCTCTATCACGGATTCATGCCATGTTTGTGTGGACCCCATTTTTGTTGTCTTTATTGAATTCTTTTTCTGTTTTTTTTCTTTCCCAGTGTTTTCTAAAATATGTTTTGTTATGTGATATTGATATTTTCGTTTCCTAAAATATCTAAGTTCAATACACCACCATCAGTAAATTCAATACATTATGTGAATGTATATATAGTTACATTTCGATTGGGTTTGTAATACGTAAGGGTTTTTTTAATTTTCCGAAATATTTGTAGTTTGTTGAAATAACAAATACTACTGTTGGTGTCTTGAAGAAAATGAAGTCTATCTTCGCTGAAGTAACAATTACGTTTTGCAAATTCTTCTAGTCACAATTACGTTTGGTTTAACACAATTGTCCATACCGAAACGGACGAAGCCAAATTCTAATCACATCGTTTGATTACACAATAGCTATAAAGATGGTAATGATCAAGGGATCGAATAGTAAATGATTGTGCTTATATCGATCATCGATGATGTATCGTAATCGCGAGTTTTTTTTTTACACGAGCTATGTTTTGGCTTTGGCTTATGTATGCCCAAAAAAAAAAAAAAAAAAAAAACTCAGGCCGACATGTCAGCAGGAAGGAGTTGGTCACCCACGCAGAGCTCTATGGTAGCCGTAACAAGTGCGACCATTCTATTGGCTCATCGTGCTTCCTATGCTTTTCCCCTCCCTATATATAAAACTCTTCCCCAGACATGCTACTATTTACTTATGTATTTTCAAATTCTTTAGTACAAATCTCGCAACCAAACTGTTCATCGAATTTCCCATATAATATACTTTGTATTTGTATTTTCGATTTTTTAATATAAAAAAATTCTATTTATATGTCAAAACCATTTGTTACATAGATCTTATATTAAAATCCTTTTTCTTTATGATAAAACTATAATAATATTTGTTTAACATGGGACATATATGATGAGTGAAGAAAACATGAATTTCCAATATGTATTATTTTTGAGAAGTTAAGCTAATAAAGAAAAAGAAGGTTAAATGAATAGAGAACAAGAAAGTCTCGTGATCCATTTCTCTCAGTTGCTTACAATTCTTTCAACTTTTAGTTTCGGTACATTTCGATGATAATTTTATTATTGGAAGTATGGTTTTGACAAAGTTCGGTTTTTCATAACTCCCGAACCCGTATAGTTTGGCACATCTCAATCATACAACCTTTTTAATAAATCCAAAACGGCAAAACCCTTACCACATCCACCAACTCGTGATCATGTTATGGCATTGTAAACTACTTATTCAATTTCAGTTTGTTTACATAGTTATTGTTTACTGTTTGATCATTCATTTGCTACGTATTTTTCTCCACACAATCACACACGAATCAAATCATATTTAACTGATATAAAACAATATAAGTTTACCCGGGACCAAACCAATGAATTTACAACCCAAAGAATACGACTATATATACGAGGATCCGTCAACAGAATTCTCACAACATTCCACACCGTAAACACACAAAACAATATAGTAACATTGTCATCATCATGTATACACACTTGAACTGGTTAATAGAAAATTAACCGGTGGAATTAAAAAAAATTAAATTAAGAATATACCAAAACAAATAAAAATCATCTGGCCTGCGCCATCATTCTTGCTACATGTCATGTTCATATCAAAAGAATCTAAAAGAAAAGGAAAAAAAGCTGACAAAAAGTCAAATATATCATTTTTATAAAAAATCTCTCATTTCCTTTACTTTTTAATAACAGAGAAATTTCCGCCATCTCTCTCTCTCTCACTATCTCTCCATCGGCCTCACCGGAACGCGCCTACGAGGTCGCAGAAGCACTACTCTTCTCTTTCCTCATCCTACGTTTCCCTCTCCTTCTCTCTAAATTCTTCAACTTTAAAGTGATAAAAATTGAATCTTTCTCACAACCCTCAAAGCAAATTATCTCTCTTACACGCTTTCGATCATCATCTTCTTCCTCGAATTCTGGTTGGTTAGTCTCTGTTTTCTTCTCCTCCACAAGCCCCTCTGCCCCCTGCTGCTGTTGATACACGTGAGCCGCCATTAATGCCCCCTTTTTTTGTTTTCTTCTTCCATGTACGTTTCTTTTAATTCGTTTTCTTTGGCGTTTCTTTCTCTATAGTTTTAATCCCTTCTTCTTCCGTTTCTGCTTCTTATGAGTTACCTCTCTCTGCTCTAGGGGTGTTTCTACTTTACTCTTTTGAGTTTTGATGAAATCGGGATCTTTTCTTTGCTGAATTTTCACTTTGGGTTAGTCTTACTACATAAAAAATTATGTTTTTCTGATTTTTTTCTTGCATTTGTCATTTGTCATGGGACCGACATTGCTCCGACAAGAGTTTCCCAATCTGGGGTTTTTATTTTTTAATTTATAATTCCAACCCCAAGTGTTTTAATTCAAATAAGGTTTCCGGCAATTTTTGAAGCTTTTCTATCTTTAAATTTGCGTTGTAGCTCTCAGTTCGTTTCTAATTAAGGTTTTGATCTTCGTTCTTGTTTTCCTATCCAGGGTTCTTCATTTTCTCTCTTGTGCATTTATGTTTGAGTTCTGTGGCTTAGGTTGTTTTCATTTACAGATAGTTTTAGGATGGTTCTCAGTTTTTTTTTTTTGTAGAAAATAACTCAAAGTTTTGGTCTTTTGCAGGTGATTTAGGGCATTGCTGATCAAATTACATCTAGTGTTTGTTTCGGCGAGCTTTAGTGAATCAAAATGTTTAATTTTGGTCGAACAAGAAGCCAAGGGAGGCAAAACAGATCTATGTCTCTTGGAGGTGAGATATTATTATTCTTGATTCTTGCTATTGATTTCACTGTTAATCTAGGATCAATGTGTTGTCATTTTCAGTTAGCTCTGAAATTTTGAGAATTTAGTTTTAAACTTAAGGTTGGTGGATGATATAATTGAAGTTTGTTTGGGGTTTGGACTTTGGAATTTCAAAGTGTAAAGCTTTTGTGTTTTTTTTTTTATGTATAATTTGGATGCAAATATTAAGAAACAGATTTTGGTGGTTTTGGGAATGTAGGTTTGGATTATGCTGACCCGAAGAAGAAAAATAATCATTACTTGGGAAAGATTCTTTTGACAGCCTCTCTTACAGTCTTGTGCATTTTCATGCTCAAGCAATCTCCAACATTCAATACTCCGAGCGTGGTATGACTTCTTAATTTACAGAAAGAAGGATGTTACTGGTGAAACTTTGCTCAAGTTTCTTAGTGGATTCTTCTTTTTACTCTTTGCAGTTTTCTCGACACGAGCCAGGGGTTACACATGTTTTAGTCACTGGTGGTGCTGGATATATCGGTTCACATGCAGCGCTAAGGCTTCTAAAGGAATCATACCGAGTGACCATTGTGGTAACTTTCTTTGGCTTACATGGATTTAGGTTACTTTGTTCAGCATTATTATTAATGTCGATATCACGATTAAAGTATATCTCTTTCTGTTTAACAGGACAATCTATCACGTGGGAATCTTGGCGCAGTCAAGATTTTGCAAGAACTGTTTCCTGAACCTGGAAGGCTTCAATTTATTTATGCTGATCTTGGAGATGCAAAGGCTGTCAATAAGATATTCACAGAGAACGCCTTTGACGCTGTGATGCATTTTGCTGCTGTTGCATATGTTGGAGAAAGCACACAATTTCCTCTTAAGTGAGTACATTGAGCAACTTTAACTGTGGAGATATATGATGAATCTGAAACAAGTAACTAAATGTTCTGCCAATTACAGGTATTATCACAATATTACATCAAACACTTTGGTTGTATTAGAGACAATGGCTGCTCATGGAGTAAAGACTTTGATATATTCAAGCACTTGTGCAACGTATGGGGAGCCTGATACTATGCCAATTACAGAGGAAACTCCGCAGGTGAAATTTTGTTCGTCAAGTATTTTTATAGCCATGGTACTTCTTCTATGCGCTCTAACCCCTAAACACTTTCAATTCAGGTGCCAATTAATCCATATGGTAAGGCCAAAAAGATGGCTGAAGATATCATTTTGGATTTCTCGAAAAACTCAGATATGGCAGTTATGATCTTAAGGTTGGTTTTTTTCTTATACTCTTCTAAGTTTATCTAGTGGTTCAATGGATTTTTTTAACTTCCCCTGAAACTGACAAGGTTCTTTTTCTGCTAATATCCAGATATTTCAATGTGATTGGGTCAGATCCTGAGGGCAGATTGGGTGAAGCCCCAAGGCCTGAGCTGCGAGAGCATGGACGCATCTCCGGTGCTTGCTTTGATGCTGCACGTGGTATCATGCCTGGCCTACAGGTAATCACTTTCTCCAGTTCATGAACTTTTTCTGAAGTTAATCAGGTTTGATCCGAGCTTTACTTTTAGCTTTCGACAGAGTCTTGACATTTATTCTTTGGACAGTCAGCACAGATCGGCTCTATTAGATTCTTAATCCTATTCCTAAAAGTATTGTCTTTTGTTTTTGGTATAACTAGGGGCTGGCACATGCTGTAGAACATGTTCGAAAATGTTTGCAAAAAAAGCTGATAAGTAGTTTGTTTACAGCTGAGCAAAATACATAATTGAGACAACTTACCCTTGAGTTTCCTTTATTAAAGCAAAAAGATTAAATTAGTCTACTTGTTCCATTCACGTGGGTATAATAAGCTCTCAGTCTTCTCTAATCATTGATCTTCATTGAGCTTGTCTTTTTCTTTGGTTTATCTCCAGATCAAAGGAACAGACTACAAAACCGCTGATGGAACTTGCGTACGGGATTACATTGACGTCACTGACTTAGTTGATGCTCATGTTAAAGCACTTCAAAAGGCAAAACCCCGCAAAGTTGGAATCTACAATGTTGGTACTGGGAAAGGTAGTATTGACTTTTGGCTTACATTAGTACTCTACTGAAGGACAACTCCTGCTGTTTAGCAAAAATTGATTTAAAGACTGCTTCTTTTTGCTGTGTGTGTTGAGTAGGTAGCTCGGTGAAAGAGTTTGTTGAAGCGTGCAAGAAAGCAACTGGTGTTGAGATCAAGATCGAGTACTTGCCTAGACGCGCAGGTGATTATGCTGAGGTTTACAGTGACCCAAGCAAGATCAAGAAGGAACTCAATTGGACAGCTAAGCACACTAATCTCAAAGAGAGTCTTGAGACTGCGTGGAGATGGCAGAAGCTGCACCGTAATGGCTACGGGTTAACCTCATCAGTCTCTGCTTACTGACTTTGTTCATTCCTATAGTGATGGATGGAGATTTTGATTCCAGATGGTATCTAAGGAGAAGCGTAGGAGATGATGTTATATATATATATATAAATATAACATAAGATATATTATCCATATTATTAAAAAAAAAATGAATTCACATGATGAGATTCTTGATTGATATTCATTTTGTAATGGCTTTTAGGTTCTTTTAGGAAGCAGCCGTTCATTATTACATGTATCTTCTTTCACAGTATTTATTTATTAGTCTTAATAATATAAGCTTCACTGGCTTTTATTTTGTTCACAAAACTTGGATCTAGCTCTATGTTACAAACATTCGTTAGTGTTTTTGTTCTCAGAACTTTTGACTTTTGTCTCATAAGCTATGGAAGTCCTGGATTTTAAGAAACAAGATCTCTCCAGTCTTGTTGGATTCAAAACTCAATAGCAACAAAAGCTTCAGTGAGAAATCAAAGTTAAATGCAACACATACGGGGGAAAAAAATACTGTTCATATATGATAATATCAAGACAAGGTTGGTAAGATTATGAAGTTCTTCTGGTAGATTGCATATATCGATTCCATGTGATTTGAGATACTTCAGGCGAAAGATTGAAGTGCTCTCTCAAAGTTATCTTCAGCTGATGCTCCTCGCTTAACAAGGACATGTTCAGGATGTGAAAGTTTCAGCTGGCTGCAAAAAAGATTGGAAATGGAGGTATCAGTCAGCTTACTGACGTGATTCATCGTTATAAAAAAATCACACATAAGGTCATGAATATCTTTTACTTTAGGTAGCGCGAAGACGATTTCCCAACATGAAGACTGCATACAACTAGGTTTGCAAGAGTTTCTGGGTCTTTAGCATCCTGCAATGAGCATAAACATCTTTGTTTTCAAACTTATCCATTTTCCAATAAACTAATACTTGAGAAGATTTGTTGTAAGGAGTTTTTAGTATATACATAGTTGATAAAGCAAGTGCAGAATATACGGTAACACAATATTGACAAATGGATTGCGCCGATACATTTTTACGGTAAGAATAAGTAGGTTTATCACTCACCTTGTTGAGTGCTTCAAGTAGTAGAGTCTCGGCCTCTTCAAAATTACCCATATGCATGCAGCAAACTGCTTTGCCATTCAAGATCAAGCTTGTCATAGGGTATTTCTCAGAGAAATCCTGGAAGATTAGATACGCTTCCTGTATCTTGGAACCCCCCTAAGATCATACAACAGTTTAATATTAACAATCTTGTCTACACTATATGGAAAAAAAAAGAAATAGATATTCATATCATACTACTGCCAGGTTCAACCATGCACTCGCGAGTTGAGTAAGTGTGTGGTCTTCATCAATCTGTTGCATCACTCTCAGCTGTTTCTCAGCATAATCTGATCTATGCATCTTTATGAATATCTGAACATTCAAAGCATGCCTAAAATATACAGAAACAACAATCAATTACCGAGTAATGGTAAGAGCTTAAAAATCACTAAAACAAGATCCAACAAAAAAAAATCAAAAAGCTTACAGATCCATGGTTCCTCCAGAATGAGTATGCTTCAGAGCCTCATTATAGTCTTCCTCATGCATGAATATAGTACCAGCAATCAACCGAATAGTAGCATTGTTTCCTACAGTTGGATCAGCCAACCATTCCTTCAAGCTCGAAATGGTTGATTCCTAACAAAAAATCACAGATTCAAACAATGCACATCACTAACATAAGCTAAATATTCCTAGAGTAATCTGAAATTCAGCTAAGCAAACGTTACAGAACATGAATCGAGACATCCCAAAAATCCAGAATTACCTTATTTTCAGGACTCGATAGATACATGGCAAGGAGCTTCACTGCCTGCAGAGGAGTAGCAGCCGCTTCGTCGATCTCACTGATGACAAGCTACCAAGACGAAATTTTGAAAAGAAAAAAAAAAACGTAAATCACAAAATGATCAAAACAAATTGAAATCCAAATCGAAAAGTTCGAGACCAGAGGCCAAAACCTGATAGCTACCGAGAGCGATGTAAGCGCGATGAACGAGACAGTCCCTTTCGACGATATCCTCCTGCGAAAGATTAGGGATCTCGCTGTTGTTGATCGCAGCTTGATAAGCACCCAAGTAAAAATGGTTTCTCAGATTGAAGAGATGATCTGGTCCTGCCATGGATGCCATTGTCTTCCTTCTTCTTCTTCTTCTTCTTCTTCTTCTTCTTCCTTCCTTCTTCTTCTTCTTCCTCTAGATCTCACAGATCCGCGTCTAACTCCAAAACAGAGAAAACTGAAGTGTGAATAATCAAAACCAAAAATATGACTCCTCGAATTAAACAAGTTATGCAAAACAAACCCCAAACATTTCGATTTGTCAATTAACACACACTACGATCTATTTCTGGCCCAGTGGATTCCGTTCAATTACTTAATGGGCTTTTAAGTTACCCAATAGTTCTAAACTCTGCATCTACTAACACGTGTCGTACATACGAACGGTGCCGATCTTGTCTTTACCAATAAAACGCGGGAGTTGTTCTAATCCTGACGTCAGCAATCCCGTTGAAAACCACTCCGTTCCATCGTGCTGTCACGTTTTGTGTCGACAAACAAACCCAAAAATTTATCGACACGTTTCAGTTTATCTCCCCCATTAAATGAGGGCCGATTACTATCCGGGAATAGTTAAAATCCGATTTACCGGTATTAGTTTTTTACTTTGTTATCAGCTAATCAAGTCATCGTGACTGTAATAATAACTTTAACAGCGTTTACTGCTTCCAGATTAAATAAGTATTGACTAAATTACCCTTTACCCAAAAAACGTTATTAGTTCGTAATCCGTTTTTTTTTTTTTTTTTTATAGATCTTTTTGATTAAAATATTTCCGTTTCGAAGTGTATGCGTGTAAGCAAGAGTTGTATTGTTCGAATTCGATTTTAAGAGCTAAAAATCAAAAACCTCTGATTTGTTGCTTTGTTGATGTAAGTTTCTTTGATCCTTCGCGAAAAATTTGTGATCATCCCCGATCGATTTTTTTTTTTTAACATTTTATTTGCGAATAGTTTTGACTTTTCGTCTTCGTCTTCTCCAATCTCGCCTGGAGTTTTAGGTGTTCTTTTGTCTCTTGTTTCGGATTTGAGTTTGTAACTGTGCTTATCTTAGTTTGATTTCTGATTTTTTCATTTTTGATTATAAGAAGAGTTTCGAATTCGAATGCATGCGTGTAATACTAATCCCACAATCCAGAACTTTGTATGTATATCTATGTAGAGTGATTAGACTCGATTCGTGTGATGTTGAAGTGAAAAAAGTTATCATTTTATTTCCTGGAACTTGAGGTATAGTATTCGGTGTTGACCTGCGTTGTAAGATAAAAGAATCGGTCATAAATTGTATCATTCTATAGGATGCATTGTATCAATCGAACTAAGTATCATTCTATTAGATGCAATGTATTTGTATAGCTCAAATTTGATGAATTAGTTTTAAAGCTTTTGGTTTTTTGGAGTTTGAGTTAGTTAGCTATCATTAAGTTTAAGGATTTTTTTTATTTTGTTTTGCAGGTTTTATGAAGTGTTGTATATTGTGATCTGTATCTAAGTTTATATTGGCTTGAAATGGCAACGGAGTCTACAAGGAGCTGGTTCAATATACGGCAGCAGAAACCCGATAAATCCAGTCCTACTAAAAGAGGACAAGAGGGTAATGTGAAGAATCTTGGCAGACCACCTATGAATGATGCACCTTCTAATGCTACTAAACAGAAAGTTGCTGCAGCAAAGCAGTATATCGAGAATCATTATAAAACTCAGAAGAAGAGTCTGCAGGAAAGAAAAGAGCGGTACGTTCCTTCTCAGTATTCTTCCTTGTGACCTGTGACGCCAATGTTTACTACTTGTGCTTTGTTTGTTTGGTTGTTACAAAATGGAATTTGAGAACCTGGTTGTTATATCAAAGAAAGTAAAGTTATATCATTTACTTTTTCTCCTACTTAGGCTTGAGATTAGTTTTCTGCTTTGAGTTCTGACTTTGTTTTCTAGATGAGGCTCCTCTACACATTCTGATTAAGGAAGTACATCGTTACTGGTTTAGATTCAACCTTCTGATATCAGCTCGCTCTTGAATACTTGTGCTTTGTTTGTTTGGTTGTTACAAATAGAATCTAAGAACCTAGTCGTTATATCATCTAAAGTTTTGGGTCTGCTAACTTATTTTCTTTTACTAGTACTGATGTTTGAGATTAGTTTTCTGCTGTAAGTTCTGACTTTGTTTTCTAGATGAGTCTCCTCTACACATTGTGATTAAGGAAGTAATTTGTTACTGGTTTAGATTTCTGATATCAGTTCGCTCTTGAATACAGTCGGAGCATCTTGGAACAAAACCTAGCTGACGCTGATGTTCCTGTTGAAGACAAAATGAATATACTGAAGAATTTTGAGAAAAAAGAAATGGAGTATATGCGTCTACAAAGACAGAAAATGGGGGTTGATGACTTTGAACTGCTGAGCATCATTGGCCGGGGTGCTTTCGGTGAGGTATATCTCTTCACCCGCCTTTGTGATTTCCTCTTTTCATCTCCTTTTTGCAAGCTTAGCTAATATCTTGTCTCATATTTACATTGATCTTTCGATATAAACATGCATTTTGAATTTGGAATTTTGTTGTTGTTTGTTTTTTGGTCTCTAGTACTGGCTATCAATAACTGCCTATTATTCTGTCTCTATAAACCAAAGCTTCCATCACTGATCTTAGTGGTGTATTGGTTTTGTACATTTTATATCTGTTCAGGTGAGAATTTGTAGAGAAAAAACTACTGGCAGCGTGTATGCAATGAAAAAGCTAAAGAAATCCGAGATGCTTCGAAGAGGGCAGGTAGAGCACTATCGATAGCATTTCTACACATCCAAGAACTCCCTTGCGATTAAATTAGTCATTTATCAACATCCGCATAAATACACTTATCTCTATATGCATCTCTATATGTGGTAAATATCAGGTTGAACATGTTAAGGCTGAAAGAAATGTGCTTGCAGAAGTCGATAGTCCTTTCATCGTCAAGCTTTGCTATTCTTTCCAAGATGATGATCATTTGTATCTTATTATGGAATACCTCCCTGGAGGTGATATGATGACACTACTGATGCGAAAAGATACTTTACGGGAAGATGAGACTCGGTTTTATGTTGCACAGACAATCCTAGCTATTGAGTCTATCCATAAGCATAACTACGTCCACAGGTTCTTACAACTGGCACTTGAAGCTTATCACATTGTTCTGTTGTCCATTTTTACATCTGATATTTGATATATACTAGATTCAAAAACTCCTTACAATGTTGAATCTTTGTAGATAATCTTCTATTTTTGCTTCCTTTCGTATGTATAGTTTCCTAGAGTGCTTGTCAATTAGCTTTCAGTTGATATGTGGTAATAATTTAATTCCAGTTTCTTCCTTTGAATTTTCAGAGATATAAAGCCTGATAATTTATTGATTACTCGTCACGGCCATATCAAGCTTTCGGATTTTGGATTGAGCAAGTCTCTGGAAAGCAAAAATTTCCCAGATTTTAAGGCGGAGCTTGTTGACAGGAATACAAAGCCTGCAGCAGAACATGATAGACTCTCCAAGCCTCCTTCTGCACCTAGGCGAACTCAACAGGAACAGCTTTTACATTGGCAACAAAACAGAAGGGCCCTGGTATGGATAGACTAGATTCACTTATCTCTATTTTCCCATGGATGCTGTTCTGTTCCACATGAAATTCTTCTGAAATATTCTGTAAAAAACGTTTCTTTTCTTAGTTAGAATGAAGTGAAAGGGCATATATTTCTGTTACTTAGAGAAGGAAATTATATAACCCTCTTATTTTTGTCTGTGTATAATGTCTACTGTGCCTTAATCTCTTTGATAGTGTCCTATTTTATTTATTTATATGACCCTTCCATGCAGTCTTAACATAATAAGATGGCTCTTTCGTGTACCATTCAGGCTTTTTCTACAGTAGGAACTCCCGATTACATTGCCCCTGAGGTGCTGCTGAAGAAAGGGTATGGAATGGAGTGTGACTGGTTAGTGAACCTAACCCATGTGTGTTTTACACTGTACATAATAATTTATTCAGTTGATATTCTGAAACCTTTTTTGAAATAGGTGGTCCCTTGGAGCAATCATGTTCGAGATGCTCGTGGGGTTTCCACCATTCTACTCTGAAGAGCCTCTGGCAACATGTAGAAAGGTATGCATATATTGGCTTAATATCCTCCTAGTACATTTTTGACCAGTTTGAAGGTTTAATTATAAGACTTTTAGTAAGTCCTGATGATAACCTCAAAATTAGCCTATCAGTCAATCGAACTAGTGTATATGTATTGAACCATCTTTTGGTAACCTGTATGGGTATGGCATGATACAAGACTTATCTCTACTAAGCTTGACTAGTATAATATTTATCAAACAAATGCTCAGTTTATCTCTGCAGATTGTAAACTGGAAAACCTGCTTAAAGTTCCCTAATGAAGCTAAGCTCTCAATCGAGGTAAAAGATCTCATCCGAAGATTACTCTGCAATGTGGAACAGAGGCTTGGAACCAAAGGAGTTGACGAAATTAAGGTACTTAAACATCATTCTCTCTGTATCAAGACGAAAGCTGATTCTAGAATGGAATGCTCGTTAGATGTCTGATTTGCTTTCCATCACAGGCACACCCTTGGTTTAGAGGAATTGAATGGGAACGACTATATGAGTCAAATGCTCCATATATACCACAAGTGAAGCATGAACTTGATACTCAAAACTTTGAAAAGTTTGACGAGGTTTTTTCATTACCATCTACTTCATTCTTTAAATCACATTTCCGTATGTGCTAAATACCTATAAATATTTTAATTTTCAGGTGCCAACTACTTGTCAAACTTCTTCCAAGTCTGGCCCTTGGAGAAAGGTATATAAACTTCCTTCTGTATTTTCACATGTTATAAATTTCAGGCTTTTCCTACAGTAGGAACTCCCGGTTACATTTACCTTAATATTTACAAACTTATTCGCAGATGATCTCATCGAAAGATGTAAATTTCCTTGGTTATACATTCAAGAATCTTGAGATCGTTGATGAACACCATATCCCTGGCATGGGTTAGTAACTCTTTTCTCATGTGAAAAAATTTCGCACAATTTAGTTATTTGCGTTTATAATTATTGAACTCTATCTCCACAGCCGAATTGAAGCGGAAGAGCAAGACAGCAAAGAAACCATCTCTCAAGACATTGTTCGGTAAGAACATACGACAACTTTGCTAAAGTTTCATATGGTCTCAAAACTTTTGGTTTAGCTTTTGTTGAAGATTCAGTTCTTTTCTTTCTTTCTCGTAGAAACACCGTATCCTCCTCCTGAGAATCAAGCCTTAGAGGATTTGCTTGATTCACCTATTTACTCTGAAGGATCTAGAGGCTCTTCCGGATCACCATTTTCGCATCCAAATCAATCCCACAATATTACCCGGAGATGATCAAAAGAAGGGATCTAAAAAATGAATTAAAGAACAAACCAAGCAAAAGTAAGTGAAGGTAGCCATTTTCCTTCATGTGCAAAAAAAAATTCTTCATACATATACTATGTAATGTAAAAACAGTGAACACCCAAAAGATACTCAAAACTAAAATGCATATAGGAAACTCTTTAGGTATACAAACATATTACAATGTTTTTGTGATCCCCAATTATCTAACCTTGTAAGCTTTTTTCTTTTATAAATATTTTACATACATAAAGAGAGAATAAAAGACATTTTGTACATAAGAGTGGCCTTTGGACTTGCCTTGATTGGTAACAACATGTTGAGTTGTTTTTTTATATTTTATGCTGAGATTCGAGCTGTGTTGGTGATGGATGAACACTTTTTCTCGAGTTTATTTAGAAAACATCCAAAACTAGTCAAATCGTTTCTTTTCCATTGAACTGTTGCCTCACCTTTACTCGAATTGTCAATCCAAATAAAACACTTTAGTCATGATTTTATTAAACAAAGAAAAAAAAACAAAAAGATAGTGAAAGTAATAGTTATGTAATGGAACGTACTGCGACAATGAAGGAAGAACCAAAGCTATCTGACAAAACCAAAAAGGCTGATCAAGAAAGAACTCATGTTCTTAATTTCCACACTGCAATAACTTTGTTCTTCTCTTCACCTCTTAGTTTGTTTCTTTGCCTTTTTGTTTTGTTCTGTTTCTATTTTTCCATTTTTCCTCGACTTTTGTATTTTCTAGTAGACGAAAGAGACACAAACCACGACATCTAAGCCATTTATATTATTTCAGCTGCGAAGTCATATGTAGCGTTTAGATTATAATGCAAATGTATAACTACTATTCAACTATAAAAAAAAACAATTGAAAATTACTATTTTCCAAATTTAGTTTCAAATTGTAGAACTTAAAACCATGTTACGTATAAGTTAGTAGTTAGTGCACACTAGAAATCGATTTATACTTATTTTACTTTTTTTTCTTTGTTGCTTTTTTTTTGTTGTTTCTAAAACATGTTTAAAGCCCTCCTGAAGTGGAGTTTTTTTTGGGAGAATTTCAAAAATACCCCTTTTCATGTACCTCTTTTTAAAAATACCTTCTTTTCAAACTTTATCAAAAAACCCACTAAAATGTTGAAATTTATCCAAATATGTGTGTAAGCTTATAAATATATACACAAATTACCTTTATATGTGTATAGAACTTTATATACCTTTCATAAATAGCGTAAAAAAACCATATAAAAACCTTATAAAATCGTATAAATCTTTTTAAAAACCTTTTAAAACCTTATAAAACTTATAAAAACGATTTAAAACTATTTAAAACATATTAAAATATTTGTATCGAATCTCCCAGTAGTAGTTATTATATAGAAGTACCTTATAAACTATATAAAACTTTATAATTTTTATATTTAAAAAGGGGTATTTTTGAAAATGGATAGATAAAAGGGGTATTTTTAAAAAGGAGTATTTTTAAAAAGGGGTACAGCAAAAGGGGTATTTATCAAAAATTCTCTTTTTTTTTAATAACACAAGTAATCGGAAGAAACGTATAACAAAACGTAAACTAACATACATTTTTAAGAAATCATTTTACTCCAGATAATTAATTAGTAGGCTTTTGGTAAACCGATAGAATTAAAATTAAGATTCAGTTAGTAAGAGTATGACTAGGGTTTTTTTTTTTAGTAATGAACTTGGGGAGTACTTAAAGGGCATGGAGAGATTGCACGTAAAGTCGATATTTATGCACACGTGTTTGAAGAAGGTTACATGCTACATAGCTCAATACACTCATTACTTAATAATATCATTATCACCCGAGATTAAAGCTTAATCTTAATCAGTTCACAAAGATAAGGAGTGTACTGTGTACAAATAATGATTATAAGTTTTTATAACCAAATGCATATCTTCTTGGGAACGAGTTCCAGTGGAATTTACTTCATGCATAATTTATTTGATTATACAGTATACAGTTAAATTTTTCAATTAATATTTCTATTTTAACGTGCTATTTATGATTTAATCTGCATGATATGACTTTTGATTGGGCTTAAATTATTTCCATTGGTTGACTAATCACTTAATGTCATATCTAATTTAGTTTATACGAATTATAGAAGACCAAAGTGTAAATTGACTTAGGCGGATCGTGTAATGACGTCAAATCCATGTTTTATTGATCGGAGGTATTTGGATTTTGGAACAACTCTAACAAAAAAAAGTTACCTAGTACTTGAATGTACTGCGAACGCCAGGTAGTGTATCTATGCAACTCGGTTAAACACTACTAGCCAATGAACAACCAAGAAGCCTATAGATCTAGGTTCATCTCAGCCGATTGCTACAACCTTTATTTACACTAATTTTGTCCATTTTACAAGTGCATAAAAATAGTATAAGCATAACCCACCCAGAGACAATTTTTCTCGACTAAAAATTTCTATATTTTAATATAGAGTCAAGTTGTATATATGTGTGTATGACATTTGTAAGTGGATCAATGTAATATTAAAAGTTAAAACTATTGATGGAGTTGTACTGCACGAATTGAACGTGGGTATGTGTTCATCATGAAGTCGACCAAAATATATTCACATCCTAATGAATAACGATACTTTCTTATATTATCCCACAGGCCACAGATATATTTGTATATATATATATATATATATATATAGATATGATTCGTCTACGGTTTGATATACTTTCTAGCTATTTACGTCGTCTTGTGCGAAGTTGTTACATATTCTTTTAAAAATATATATATCATACATCCCACATATTTTTGTGAACATCTTGGGGTTAGCGTATTATCATCAAAGTTGTATAATTTTATTCCAAATTTTTAAAAAATCAGTAAAGAATAATATATGTAATTAATTGCAGTTTTTCTTTATAATCAAAATATTTAAGGATAGAAATGAATTACAGTATTTTATTTTTCAACATAATTTCTTAATTATGAGAAAGTAATAATATGTAGGATAGGTATATCTTTCAAACATCTTTAACTATTCAACAGAAAGAAATGATAGCCATAAAGGTCTCCGTGGCGGGTTCTAATTGGTTAACAAAGAAACGTATGCCGATCATTGCGGTTGCATTTTCTATTATATAATGCGTTTTATATATAATTCTCTTCTTACATACATGAATATCAAATTGATAACCAAGTTCATTTTGGAGTGATCTTGTCATTAAACGATGTCAAGACAAGAAAATCATAATCTAAAATGGAGATAAATAGATCATTATATATATGATAGGTCTTTATTTAAAGATTAGCAAAACTTGACATGGCGGTATTCAAAAAACAATGTGCTACAATCATTTTTATCTCACAATAATATTAATCTCTTTTGTTAATTCTTCTTGCGGGCAGAGAAAACAAAAGTTTTAAATATAATATACCAAGTATAACTTAGTTAGTTCTATGCGCTAACGAATTATTTGCGCCGAGTAATCAAAGAAGCAATATTATATTAGAACTTCACAAACTCAAGTAAACTCAGAAAAAAAGATAATCTAAACTAAAAAGGTACAAAAGACTTGGCCATATTTATTAATTAATTAGAGTATCTCACTTACTTTAAACTTATATTTCCGTCCATACTTTAAAATATGAATATCCCGTTAAATATTATATATATTTTTACTATGAAATCTCTCTTTTTTCTCTCTCTCATCAACATGTAAAGAAGAAGAAGACGAAGAAGATGTTCTTCTTCTTCTCAGTTCTCATCACGAAAAGTCAGCGTCTCTCTCTCTTCATCATCATCATCCTTTCTTCTTCTCAATCTTTTCTCAAGAAAATCACAAATTTTCCCAAGAAAACACTCACAAGTTGTAAGATGCTAGAAACATAATATTTTTTCTTCTTGATCTCTCTAGCTCTCCCTACCTCGGATTCGTTAGATCATATACTATCTTGATTCTTTCGTATAGCTGAATAAATATATACACACCAAGATATAGACACTCATCATCATCGTCATATATAGATTATGTGCAGCGTCTCTGAGCTTCTTGACATGGACAGCTTCCAAGGAGACTTAACCGACGTCGTAAGAGGTATCGGAGGCCACGTGTTGTCCCCGGAAACTCCTCCTCAGAACATCTGGCCTCTTCCTCTGCCGCATCCACCACCATCTCCTTCAGATCTTCATGTAAACCCCTTCGGAGATCCTTTTGTGAGCATGAACGATCCTCTCCTCCAAGAACTCAACGCCGTCACAAACTCAAACTATTTCTCCACCGTAGGAGATAACAACAACAACAACAGTAATAATGGTTTCTTGGTTCCTAAGGTATTTGAGGAAGATCATATAAAGAGTCAATGCAGTATCTTCCCAAGAATCCGGATCTCGCATAGTAATAACATCATCCACGATTCCTCCCCGTGTAATTCTCCGGCCATGTCGGCTCATGCTGTCGCCGCCGCAGCAGCCGCCTCGCCAAGAGGGATCATCAACGTAGACACAAACAGTCCTAGAAACTGTCTATTGGTCGATGGTAACACGTTCTCCTCGCAGATTCAGATATCTTCCCCTCGGAATCTAGGCCTTAAAAGAAGGTACGTACATATTTTTAGTTTATTAATTTTTCTTGATCTTGGATCAAATGATTCATTAAATGTTAGCTTTCTATACGAATATATTGATTTAATCCCAAGATGGTTTCTTAAAGTTAATATATATATGTATGAAATAATTGGGATCTCCAATTTGCATTATTTTTTATGATACCATATAGAGTAAAGTATATTAGGGTTATAGGCCACTAGGTAGCTAGGTTTGTAGGAAAACTATATCCATCGCTATTAACATTCGGAATAAGTCGGATGCATGCATATGCTAATAATAGAATGAATTATGGTTTTCTTTTTGTATGTGTATAAATATTTACAATTCCCATTACTGAGTGTTCTAGGGTTTAGTTTTGTCTGTTATCATGAATTCATGATCAATATCATAATAATGAATTTGTATGTATATATATATAAATACTATCTATATAATTGTTTAGATTCATCAGAGGAAGGAGGGTTGAGGTTGAAGACACATGCAGGAGAATCTATGAACTGTCACAATTAAAAGAACATATAACTGCGTTGCATCATGTCTCAAACCCAACTGATAATAATGTCCACTACCAAACTTAGCTTTCACAACTTACATATATACACACGTGTATATCCTATATAGATCATAGGAACCACACGTGTGAGTATGTTTGTAATACTATTGTTTTGGTGTAAATGTTTGCAGGAAGAGTCAGGCAAAGAAGGTGGTGTGTATACCAGCGCCGGCTGCCATGAACAGTCGATCAAGCGGAGAAGTGGTTCCGTCTGATCTGTGGGCTTGGCGTAAGTACGGTCAAAAACCCATCAAAGGCTCTCCTTTTCCAAGGTACTACATTAACTCATCATACCAAATTATTCATATATATACAAAACGATTAATTAAACTAAAATTTCCTTCACCACCACATTATTCTTGGCTCAAGTTGTTGCCAATATTCGTATGTTGTAACAACTCTCGATCCTCTTGATGATTGTGAGTTTGGTCCATATGAATTAATATACCACTTTCCCATGAAAAATAAAAATTTGTTTACATATACGAATTATATACACATACGATTAAAGTTCAGTCCTTATGTTAACTTTAAAAAACAAAAATTATGACAAAAGCAAAAGAAATTCGCAATGATATCGTTTTAGTTAATTTCATTTTGTAATTTAATCCTTCATTCATTTTATCACTGTAGTCAATAGAAAAGTAATCATGTCAAATATTTATGATTCATAATAGATTTGGCTAATCTCTATAGTTACTTATGATTGTTGCTTTCAGGGGTTACTATAGATGCAGCAGTTCAAAAGGCTGTTCAGCGAGAAAGCAAGTCGAAAGGAGCCGAACCGATCCAAACATGTTGGTGATTACATATACCTCCGAACATAACCATCCTTGGCCAATCCAACGCAACGCTCTCGCCGGCTCCACACGCTCCTCCTCCTCCTCCTCCTCTAACCCTAATTCATCCAAATCCTCAAACACAAACGTAAACGCAACCACCTCATCCATTGGCTCCCACAACACAACCTACTTGCCTTCCTCCACCACTCATCCTCCTCCTGTCTCAGTCTCCTCCGTAAAAGATGAACGGGGAGATGAGATGGAGTTGGAAAACGTAGAAGACGACGATGATAATCAGATTGCTCCATATAGACCAGAGCTTCATGATCTTCAGCACCAGCCAGATGATTTCTTCGCAGATCTTGAAGAGCTAGAAGGAGATTCTCTAAGCATGTTGCTTTCTCAAGGCTGTGCCGGCGATGGGAAAGATAAAAAGATGGTGTCCGATGGGATCAGCGATTTCTTTTGCTGGTCGGGAGATAATAATAATAATAATTACGACGACCAAGACTCAAGGTCGTTATAGATAGTGTTAAATACAGATAAAACAAAATTATTTTTAATTAAGTTGAGCTTCTGAAAATGACGATCATAGTGTCTGGTCAGGTGGGCTAATGAGATGGTTACTTCACTGACCGTAAACAGTACTTTATCGTCATTTGTTATACATTTTTTTTTTTGTTCTCGACGGATCAGTCTTGTATAGTTTTTAAAAACATGTGAAAAACAAAAGGCCAGTATATTTCTTAATTTATTTTGTGAAATCTACTAGACAAAATATACATATGCCAAAGTGTTGTGTTACTCTATATATTCGATTTCAGACGGAGTGTTTCTTTATTGACAAGTTCCCCATAGTAGAAAAGAAATTTAACAAATTTGATACATTAAACGATTGAGTTAAATGCTTTGATATAGTTTAATACTAGTAATGAGTTGTATGTTGTGTAAGTTTTGCTGCTGGGATGGGAGCAGGAGAAGTGGGGCAAAGGAATATTTGGTGGATGGGACACAAAGTTAATAAGTTCGTTCATCTACAGTTCAATCACCAAACGCATCCCAAGCTATGAAGCTAGGCATATATATATCGAATTTATCTAGATTATGAAAATCAAGTTTAAATAAATCATTTGTAAATCCATTGTTTTCTATATGATTTAAAGGTTCAATACCAATAGATTCATACAATCCCTCAAGGCATGTAATATAAGTCTTCTTTTAAAAATAAACATCTCTAAACATTAATCGAAATCACGGTAACTCGATCGTACTTGGTTATATAATTTCATTCCAAGTGGACTAGACTGAATAAAAATATACTTATTAACTGAAAACTTCTAATAGTTGTGATTATTCTTGTAAACTAATCTTCTAATAAACTCATTTGATAATCTTTTGGAATTTATCTTAAGATCCTCATTGTGTTTAGTATTTCTATTCATGAGATCCCACATTATCTTGTTTTAGGATGTTGTTATATATACGAGCATATGCCTATTATTGGAGTTGTGAGGTGATGAATTTTTGTTTTGGATCTATTATATATGTAAAATGTGTAAGAATAATTTCTCAAATCAGACAGTGCATGTGGGCGATCTTGAAAGGCAGGGAGAAAAGCCCTAGTTTCACGGCTTTCTTAATGGGGAATTTAATTTAGAATCCCATTCTAATTATATTATTATATTCCAAAAAGGCAAAGAGAGAGCTTAATAATATTCATACAAATGTTGTCTTTAATTTCGTCGTTTTATGATATTATTCATATATATATACTTTGTTGAAACTGTCACACCTCTGTTTACACACTATTTATATTTTTAAGATATCAACGGTTAATAGCATGTCGCAGAATTTTGTTTTGTTTTATCGCATTGTACACTACATTGCTTATTAAAATATTGTAGATAACATTTGTGTAAAAAATAAAATAGAAAATTATAGAACTGTTGTGCTATATATATATCATATATTTTGTGTATGCAAGATACGTTAGATTTATTATCACATAATTTTGGTTCCTATGAGTTATTTGATAAGTATGGTATGACATGAGAAATCTCATGGATCTACTATTATTTCCCTTGTATCACTTGACGTTCTCTTCCCTTTACATTGTTGGTGTAAAAGTAAAAAAGTAAAAAAAAAAAAAACATACACATATATATTTTTCAGATACACTGATAATCGTATTTATTTATTTTTTATGTTAAGTTTTCAATCATACACATATATCTTTATTATTGTATATGTATATGAATATACAATTAGAAGTGAATTATATGAAATGATCCATGAGAGTGTCAGAGAGGCTCAGAGCAGCCTTTATCAATATTGTTGTCCCGCGTTATTTACGCGATCGATCTAACTGATGTTGTTGTTTGTGTATGTCAACTTTAATTCCATCTTTGTCTTTTTTTTCTCGTACCCATTTCCTATAATTATTGAATTTCATAATAACTACGTAAACTAGCTAGGTATTATTATACAGAAATTTACACAGAGTAATATAATGAAGAAATTGCAATTAATTGTCATTTCCAAAACTGATTTGGATTGAGGGATGGAGAGTAGATTTTAAAAAAGTGCATTAAGCCAATTAATAGCATTATAATACTAGCATAAGTCAATACATGTCCCAAATTTCAACATCTGAAAATGCTTAAACTAATGAGTGAACTAAGCTGTGGCCACTAAAAATATTAGTATTTTGTGTCAGCCAATAATTATATTTTGGATTTTTAAACTAAATTAATTATAAAGAAAGAAGAAGAAGGAAAAAAGAAGGTAATGAGTGCTAACATTTTGATGTGGGATTTTGAGAATATAATGGAAATAGTGACTCTAGGTCAAGTCAAATCGACCATCTAGTCTGATTGATAGAAAGAAAACTTCATCACAACTCTTTGTTTCCTAAATAAATTGGCTTGATTTGACCAGAGGGGAAAAGAATAGTCCTAACATTTTTATTGCCAACTATTATTATTATTTTACTTTTGCGAAAATAGTTATATTTTTTTAAAAGTACAACTTTACATTATTTTCTGAAATCATTATAAATTTATGATTATTTCTTGAAAAAAATTAGGTGAAATAAAAAAAAATGTAAAAAAAGGAAATTTAGGTCGGTTCCATCTTTTCGTTCTTGAGTTTGTTTTATGGGTTATATTCATTATCTCTTTCCATTATGGGTTATATCTTATTGGCGTTATTGGCTTTTCAAAATAAAATTATATATTTATTATATGTTGTTTCCCCCCCCCCCCCCCCCCGCCCACTTTCATGCATCGCAATTATTCTATCTAAAAATTACAAACAACTAGAAATATGTTGCAAAATTAAATTACATTTAATATATTGAATGTCTCTAACCGCTATAGAAACAAACATCTATAACTTTGATCATCGAAAAAAATGTATATATGAATCAGCCTATAAACCGATCTCACTCCCAATTATTATTATGTGAACTTTGGAAGGATTTTTAAAAAATCATATGAATTTTATTAAAATCATCAAATCATTTAAAAATTTATGAAAACTCAAATTTCTTAAAATTTCATTTTGAAGTTCTTCTCCAATCCAAATCTAAACTTATTCGAAACATTTGAGAGAAAAACGTAATCCAAGTCCTAAATGTTAATTAATTATATCTTAGGTAATAGGTAATGTAATCGTTCCCGCATGGGCATTCTCGTTAGCAGTAAAATAGAGTTACCTTGGTTTCAATGGTTTGACCGCATACTAGTCCACGTAATTAAAGTAGATAACAAAGACGTAAGAACTAATAATATGATAAAATTAGTAGCACGTCCAATCACAAATCTCTTTAGAGTAGTTTCTTTTTCACCTCGAATCAGTTAATTAAAGAGACCATAAACTTTATTTACGAAAACGATTGTTTGCAAATAACTATTATTATTTTTTTGGTCAAACTGAAAATAACTAATTACGACTAAATATTTGACACACACAAACACAAAGTTAAATCAAAGAACTAGGCAACTAGCTATGACTGACCAGTGACCAATGTTTACAACTTGGAAACAAAGGAGGGGATAAGCTTAACGTCTAATCATATCACTGATTAAATTATTATGTCTGACTGAATGGTAATTACGTCAATACTATAACAGTATTAGTGGTCCATTTTTTTTGTTCAATTTGTGACAGCTAAATAAAGAAAAATATCGATTAATATGGATGTGTTAGTTACACACCGTGTGTATCAATACTTGGAATACGCGTCTCGACCCGTTACTCAATTTGACCTGCTCAAATGTTTCAATAAATGTCCCATATATGTGCTGTAGTATGTGCAAGTAGGACTAATTACTAATTAGAGAGGGCTATTGGAAATTTATAAATACAGTTTTAAATTAATGCAATATATAATTTGTCAATTACATAAATTAGATTCTGTTTAAAAAAATATATTTTTTTGTACAAAAGTTTTTTAAAATAGTTATTATTTTGAAATTTCATCATATCTTTTATAGAGTAAAAAAAAGTAACTACAGTATTTTTTTTAAAATAACTGAGATAGATATGATTTCTGGGCTTTGTAAAATCATTACGTGAGCCCAACTAAGATTATTTCCTTGCCAAAGGAGAAGGCCGGGCATGTACTTCCCTTTAGATCTCATTCTCACCAAATCACAAACTAATTTTCTTTTTTCTTAAAACAATTAAAAAATCTACAATCCCACCACATAATTTATAAAATAAAATCACTTAAATCTCTAAAATTTCCTAATCCCAAATTACTAATCTGATGAAAAAGAATTAGGAAATTAGAGAGGTTTCATGATCCCAACGCAACCCTAAAACAGAAGTACTCAAAATTCTCTGCATCTCCATGCCCAAAGATCTAAAACTCTATTCAAAATACCGTAATCACAAATTCAGATTCCAACCTATGAGTTCATCATCAGGTTCGCTTTCGTTAATTATACACTGACATAGAGCTTCACGTTTTGTATAACCCATCAACTACTTTTTTTTTTTTTTTTTTTTTTTCTTTTCTCCTGTTGCCTAATTCGATATTTTTGCGAATTGGCATCTGCAGGTCCAATAGCCAAGGTTGAAACAAAAGCTACGGTGAAGAGTTTATACCTAAAACCTCTTGGTGATGAGGTTTCTTTTCTTCATCTTTTATATAATTTCTTTATTAATTTCTAGTTATATGATCAGTTTGATAAATTCCTTTTGTGTTATGCTCTTTCAGGTTAAAGAATATTTCGCTGCAAGAGCGATTTCAGTGAAAACACTTGAGAGAAATCGGGTTATGCAGAAAATTATAGGTGATGAGGTACGTATACTCTTCCCAGTTGCTTATATTTTCTCAAGATTTGTTTCTATCTTGAGACTCTAAAAGAGATGTTATAACTTGGCACTCATTGCAACTAGTTTAGATTCTTGTCTTAAGGAACATGCTTGGTTCTGGTGATCCCATACGTTTGTTGTTGGTTAGAACTATGTTTTCATTTTACTTTCTTACCTCTAATTTTCTTGTTACAATATTTTTTATGCTGGCAGATTGTGATTGCTTTTACGTATTGGCAAAAGGAAGAGATTGAGTTTTGCAAGTACCGGCGGTATCCAACTAAGAAGTTCTTTCAGGTTCACCTCATACATGCATATAAATTCCTTTCTCTCATTAGCATTACAACAAACCCTCTCTATAGCTTTTTTCAATTACGACTGTTCGTTCTCTTATGCTTTCTTTTCTCTTCTTTGACTTTACTTCAGGAAAGGCAAACAAGAGGGAAGATCTTGTATGGGCTTGATGACATAGAAAACGCATCTGAAATCATTATAGTAAGTCTTTTGCCGTATAGTTTATCTCCTTTATGATTATGGATGAACTAAACATGTGAGATTCTAAAATTTAATTAGGTTGAAGGGGAAATAGACAAACTTGCAATGGAAGAGGCTGGTATATTCAATTGTGTGTCTGTTCCTGATGGAGCTCCAGAAGTGGTTTCTTTAAAGGAGATCCCACCTCAATCCAAGGTTTACAATCACTGGTCTTCTTCTAGCTAGCTTTCATATATACTTTTTTTTTTCTTTCTTTCCTCTTAATTGGTTCCTTAAGCATTTTACTCTTCTGTGAAACTAGGACAAGGCATTTAGGTATCTATGGAATTGCAATGAATTTTTAAAACAGGTTTGTGTTATAATTTTTCTTATTTTGGTTTTGATGTGAAAGTCAATATACAATATAAAAATGATTTTTATCTGGTAGGCGTCTCGGATTGTTATTGCTACTGACGGAGATGCGCCTGGTCACGCTCTGGCGGAAGAACTTGCACGGCGTTTGGGGAAAGAAAGATGTTGGCGTGTCAAGTGGCCTAAGAAAAGTAAGGATGAACGTTTCAAAGATGCAAACGAGGTCAGACTAAAATTTTCTTGAAATCGTGCTTTTGTGGTTACTTTGGTTTTAAAATGAGCAACAGTGAGTTCCTTACTTACTTGGATGGTTTATTTTCTTTAGGTGCTTATGTCTAAGGGACCTCATTTACTCAAGGAAGCTGTTCTAAATGCTGAGCCATACCCTATGGTATACAAGGATTGATATTTTCTTACGAAGATTTCTTTGCTGACATTAATGTCTTCAACGGGGTGTGTGTAAGAGTTGAAGCCATGCACTTTCTTTAACAATGGGACGGCAGTATACACCGACCCTTTAAGATAGTGGCAGCGCATATATTTTTTATAACCAATGTGACTATATGGAATAGCAAAATTTTTTTTTTATTTATTTTAATGAGAAAGTTTTAGCAAAATCGACAAGTTATTGCAGTTACGTAGGTGGTTCTTACTATATTTCCGTGAATAATATGCTGGACCTCTTGACTTAGTCCATAAACACCAAAACTGTAACAATGGGCTTCTAAGTTATGTTGATTACCATGAATGAATTACTGCAATGATGGCTCTGATACTTTGTTACTGGATAATCTGTGATGCCTCAAGTCTATTCATTAGCTACAATATATGATTATTAATCAAGAAAATAATTTAATTGAATTTTGTAGGTCTGGTACATAGCAATTTTGGATTTAAAAAAAGAAAAACGGATTTACATTAGTTAAGAAGAAATTAACCAATGGTTAAACTCTAGCTAATGTAGAAACTACTACAAGAAACAAATTAGAAACAGACACAAATCAGACAAATATTAAGGATTTTGACATTCGAGCATCTCTGGATAGAAGAACCAAAGCTAGTTCATTAGATCTGTTCACACTTCACATTCACAACAACTTATTTAGGTCTCGAGAAATCCTAGGGTTTCTTAAGATGCATCCTTCGGCTTTAAGGACTTGAACCATTTCCTTTGGAACCACACACACTTCTTCTGTCGATAGCTTTTCCTGGATTTCTTGAGATGCAAGCAAAAACTGCATTTCTCTTTCCACCTTTGAACTCTCCCAAGTCTACAAAATTATAACAAATGTTTCATAAGTTAAAATAGGCATAAACCAAATCCTCCTACTGGAGATTAATCTGGATAGAGGGGTTTATCTTATACCTGCATTTTGGTCTGCTTAAGTTGAAGAATCTCAATTTGAGCCTGCAAGAACTTGACATATTTAGCTGCGGCATGGAACATTTCGGCGGTGTTGTGTTTCTGGCTTCCAGGGATTAGTTTTCCGAGCTCTTGAGTCTTCTCTGTGATTCTTCTTCTCCTCTTTCTTGCTGCGACGCTCTGAGCAGAAACCTCCGGTTTCTTGGTATCATCTTTATTATCACTCCACCCAACTTTGAATGCCGGAGAGAAGTCAGGAACAAGAAACTCGGAAAAGTTAGAAGTCTCGGTGATGTAGGAATCCAAGAGATTAAGATTAGAGCTCGGAAAGAAAGGCTCATCAGAGTTGAAATGGAAGCTGGAGTTACTGAGCTTTTGGTGTTTCCGCGTGGGGAAGAAGGCATCCAAGTCATGTGACTCATTGAAGACTTCGGTTTTAGGGCTAGGGAGAAAAATGTCTTGTGGAGGAAGAAACGGCTCGTATAAGTGACTGAACTCGAAGAGAGAAGGTGAAAGAGCTTCGTCGAGATCCAACGACTGATGCATTGGATGCTGCTGCGGCTGTGCTTGAAAGAAGAACGTGTCGGATTCAGGGATAAAGCAATCCTGAAGCTGGATTAGATCGGAGTTGGCCGAGAAGTAGCTTAAGCAGTCCATTAGAGACGAAAGAGAGATGATGAATAAGTGTGTGTTTTAGCAAATGAAGAATGTGAAGCGATGATCAGGAGCAGTTACGGATGGTGTGAGGTAATGAAGAAAAGAGTAATTAAGACTTAACTAATTAAGCTTAGTGTAGTAAACGCAGAGAAAACAAAGGAAAGGACAAGAGAAGATAAATGAGATCGGATCAAAGATTCTGTCTTTTGTTTTTCTTCAAGTGAAGTAAGACTTGAGGTTGTAAGTTTGTAACTTCTCTGACTTAACCGTCACAAAATATATATATACACAACATGAATTAGAGAGAAAGAGAGAAGTTAAGGTTTTGGCGAGGATTAAGGAGGGGTTATAGTGGGTTTTAGAATTAGCGTAACCACCTCCTTATTATTAGGCCTTGTTTCTTTTATTTTATTTTATTTTCTTAAACCTCATTTCAATAATTGTAGATTTAATGATTTTAGAGTAACCGCTGTAATTAATTTTGAGACTGTTTGTAAATATATTACCTTCACGTTACCTTTTGTACAAACTACAAAGCGGTGAAGCCTATATACCAATTCAGCCCATACAATTTAAAGAAGATTCATTCAATAACATTTTTTAAGTTTAGTAAAAAAAATTCATACTAATACTATAAGCTGTTAAATTAATTTTATATGCTTTTATTAGTTGAAAAAGTCATGATTTGTTTCTAAAAATTATATAAACAAAAATATAGCTGAAATCATTAGATAGATAGATGTCTAGTAGTTTTAGGGGGAGTTATTGGGAGAATGATTTTTAAAGATTTTTAGAGTTTAAGATTCCATTGTTATTGGTTTATAGATTCTTAGATTCCTAATAAAATCTCTTGTTATTGGTGTATGTATTTTGTAATTCTATTTAAAATCCTTTGTTATTCAAAAAGTTGAGTATTTATTGATTTTCCAATTCTATCAAATTCTAGTGTTATTGGTTTAATGATTCCTTACATATTTAGTCATTAAAAACAACTTTCAAAATACTGCAATTCTCACAAGTATTTATAGAATCTATCATATGAAGAATCTATTAAACTCTAGAAATCTGGGTAAACATTATTTTAGAATCCACAAAAATTTTTGAGAATCTTAAAATCTCTAAACTTTAGAAATCCATAAACTCTTTTAAAATCATCCTCCCAATAACCCCCCTTAAAAATAGAGAAAATTATTTACGTTAAAGTTTATGTGTTTTAAAAAAAAAATGCTTTTAATCAAATTGGGGATATGGGTCTTAGCCCGACTAATTCAATGAATGAACAAGTCTCTCTTCTTCACAGTTTTATCAACCCATCATTTAAAACAAAATTAAAACCCAAACCAAAAACCCAATATACAACAAAGTGATTAAGAGAAAGTAAATTTAGTTTATATTTATCGTTTTTATATTTTTTTACTGGTAGCTCGATTGACTCAGTAAAAGAGAGTGAGAGAGCTACGGTTTTAGGGGCTGAAGTTGAGAGATTTGTGGTTCCTTTGACTTTGCCGCCAAGTTTTCTAACTCCACGTGTCATACTCGCTTTGACTTTGTCGTCAAGTCTTTTTTCTTCTTTTTCTTAAATTGGTAACTTACTTAATAATGGGTCGAAATAAATACAACAGGCCTGAAGTAATATTACTTAATGGGCCTTTTTAATAGAAAGCCCATTTATGTTCCTGGTGCTCCCCTTCACTATGTTGTCATGCTAATTGTTCTTGAGTCCTCTTGTTTTTCCATGTGTATGCGACTTTTGTTTACTAGCTGCTTGCGATACAACAAGCTCTAATAATGGAGTTGCTGGTTCATGGCAAAGAGAAGGCAAGGTGATTTTGAAAAGCACAAAACAGAAAATCCAATAAAGTAGAAATGTGAAATGTTTTTGATTCTAAATCACTTTTCTATGAACATTTCTGTAACTTGATTCTTGCAGGAGTATCAATTTTGGACAAGAACAGATGAAGAAGGATTCTTGTACATAAGTAACAGATGAAGAAGGATTCTTGTACATAAGTGGAATACGGCCAGGACAATACAATCTCTATGCATGAGTTCCTGGTTTTATTGGCGACTATAAATACATGATATTATCACCATCACCTCAGGTCCTTTACTTCTTTTCTTGCTCCCAGTACATTTTTCTTCTTGTTGTTACAATTAAACCCAATAATATATAAGGTGACAAGAAAGATAGCTAGTATCAGAGAGTTTAAGAGACAAGAAAGATAATGTGAAACACAATACCAAAGTATCATTTTAAAACGCAGAGAAGCTAGATAGCTAGCTAGAACCACCACCAGGAGCATCAATTCTCGGACGTTTCTCGTGAGGACAATCGTCATCATTTTCGGAATCCTCACCAAAATCTTCAATAGGGAACTTGCCATCAAACAGCTCCGTCCAACGCCATATCAATTCTATAATTTCATCAGATGGAGCTTCTGCTAGTGGGAAGTCATCAGGCACTACCAAGAAAATATGGTAACCTCTTCCTGCCAGTTCTTTAAGAACGCGGTCAAAATCCGTTTCTACCTCTGGGATGTCCTTTGCAACTAGGATAAAAATCGTTTCACGGGCAATAGCATTCTGGTATGCCCACGCAATCATGTCAATTATCATCTTATTGAGTCTCGAACGTTTTTCCAATCTTACGCATGCGAGCTGGATCTCGGCCATGGCAAAGGGCCCCTTCAGAGCATTGTCGCGAGTATAAGCATAGATTGACAGGTCAGTAACATAACTCTCAATTTGAAGAACTCGATTGACTTGATCATAAAAATCACACAAATCGCGACCCTCAGGGACTGGGAAATCCTCGACGTCCCAGAAGACGCGTACACTAGCCCCTGCGAACGCATATTAAACAACTACAGTATTACACAATCGATTGCGTGATCAATTTCGAGAAAAAGATATAGAAATCTTACACGAGTAGGACCGAGCTTTTTCTGTAGATGAGCCCATTAGAGAGGGGATGAAGCAGACGAGGAGGAGGCAAGAGGATACCTTTTGATTTCTAAATCGGGATCCCAAAAATTAAGTACAAGACTCGGTAGGGATGTTGTGGTGGGTGAAAAAACCCAGCCCGACCCGAACCCATATTAAGCCTGTCCAGAAAAAACCCGAATAGGTTTTACCTGTTATGAGTAAACCTGAAAAAAAAAAACCCCATTGAATATTAGAACTATCCGTGAGTATCCGGATTTTATTTTCTTATTTTTATGTTATACTAGCATATGACCCGCGCTGCGCGCGGGAGGTTTATAATGTTTTTATTTATATTGTGATATTTTATTTATTTTTAATTGATTTTCAAAACATATCTTGAATTATTATCTTTCAATATTTAAATTTGGATTAAAAGCATTTTTTTTTTATCATGTTATAAACTAATATTTCACTTTCAATTTTATTTTCCCCTTTAAATTTTTATATATACAATTACATAAATGTTGTTTTTATTCTACCATAAATTTAAAATTTACTTACATTCTTAAACTTTGTAACACATTTAAAATTTTAAACTATGATCAATTTAAAATGAAAGTTGAATTATATTATTACCACTAACTAATAAAAAATGAAAGTATTTCTTATTTAACATTTCATTTCTTTACATAATTTATTTTAATTTATATAAATTTTTATTAATGAAATAAGTAGCATAAATATGCACTAAATGAATGTTTTAAATTTATTTTAATGTAAAAAATGTGGCTTAGGTGGATGCTTAGGTGGCATCATGAGAAGAGAGAAAAAGCTAACTTTATATATATAGATTACAAAATTTTTACACGTGGTACAGGACAAACACTTTATTTTAAATTCATATTTTCTAAAATTTACAGATTTTGTTGAGAGAAAATTTGCCTTTTTTCAAATTTTCTTTTAAAAAATAATTTTTGTCTTTTTCTCATTTTAAAATTAATTTTCAGATATATAAAATTACTAAAATACAGAAATTTAATGAAATTTATCAGTAGACTAAAAATATTTAGTATAATCATAATTATTATTATGTAACAAGGTCAAAGTGAATCATAATCATAACCTTTACATATATACATCTTCACTTAACAATCTATCAATCTCTATGTTAAATTTTTCATAATAGCAAACATACTCACAAAACAATCTCTACGTATTTGTTTTTATAAATATAGAATAAGAGTAAAACAAAATCAATGAACTCACATTGATTCATAACATAGTGACGTAGAAAACACAAAGAAAAAGTTAACAATAATGAATCTTTACTTTGCCAATTTTTTCTAAAAAAATATAGTTGAATAAGCTTAGAGAATTTTGGAATTGTATGGCTTTATATAAGTTTATATTAAACAAAAACTATAGATTTAATAATGTTTAGTTATTATTTTATAAGATTTAGTATCTTTTTTAATAAACTATTATTATTTTAAAAATTATAATAATAAAATACATATATATATATATATATATTCGAATTTATAAATAAAGCATTTAAATTAAATCAGGACAAACTGTCTTTTTATATATTGAAAAAATTGTTTTTATTTAAAATAGGGTAAGTGTAGTTTTCAAAGCAAAACTTTAAAACAGGGTAGAATTCAAAATTACCCTTTTGTTGGAGCTTATTTAATAATTATCAACATTATATAATATCAATTTTTACTAAATTATTTTGATTTTACATTTCCTATATTATTGTTGTTAAAAATATTTACGTTTTTGTTATTCTTGTGACTGAATCATAGTACTACGATTTAGATATGTATGTGATGTTTGTTTGTTTCTTGACCCACTAAGATAAAATACTTTTCTAGGCTTAGACCTACTTATAAATGCCTTCAAATATGAAATCTATTGGCAAAACTCTGTCAGACCTGGTTGAAGTATAGATTCTAGCTGTAATGTTCAGAATGAATATAGCGAACCTCTTGATTGCTCTTCCTTTTTCCTAGGTTGACACACCCAATTGTAATGTCAAAACTAAATTCAGAACCTGTCATACAGCACTAGGCTCTTGTAATTTTTCGTCTACATTATTTACCTTGCAGAAACACATAAGTGAATGTTTGAAAGAACCATCCATTTCATTGATATATGAAACCCTTGCATGGAGTTTGTCATCTTTGTTCAAGCAATTGAAGATTACAGCAAAGTAGCTCATTCAAGCTCTGCTCAGTTTGATGCATCTAATGATAATCTGGAATCATTAACACAATATGATCAGATGGATATGGAGAATTATGTAATGGGTATAGCAACTGAAGAACTTAGCTTCCCTTTTCATCTTCATACAACTTCTGAAGCACTAATCAAAGTGACAGAAGGTATCACTTATGGTATTCCCTCATTTTTGTTCAAACAAAACTTAAAATTTCTCAGAATCTCAGGTGCCATAAAATATTGAGGGAATTCGTGATCAGACTTTAGATGCTACTTTCCTTATATAGATTTGGTAACATGTTTTTGCTGATGCATTACTATTAGTGGTAGGACACAGTACAATCTGTATCACATTTTTTTCCGGAAGACTTTTCAAGTGTTTGTATGAAATATTTTTATATTTTTTGTTTGTTTGTTTAAGAATTGGGTTTCTGAAGATATTTCCTTTCTGTAATATAAAAAAGATTAACTCTAGTTAAGTTAATGTTGTCTACTTTTTGTGGTTTTGTTTCGTTCGTATGTTTTGGCACTTACTTGTTTGTAAGGCCCTCAATGTTATAAAATTTCTTAGAACCAATGCAACATGCAAGTTTGCGAGTTACTAGGAAGGAATCATCTAGAATTAGCAAGAAAATTACAGAAGCTACTCCAATTGTTTGTGCCTGGGCAACACTTGAGGATACTCTGGTAGATGAATCATTATTCCTTCGGACAAATTTTCAGATACAAGGTTTTTTAATGGAACAGGTTGATGCAATTGAAACCGTAAAGCCTATATTTCCTTAGTAACGAATATAATTCTGTCAGAAGTATTGCTACTTTTAAAACTTTCATCTCCTTGTAATGTCAGCCATGGAAGTTCAAGTTCATTCTCTTCAAGTTTGGTCGAAAGTTTCCTTGAGCAGCTTCAGAAGTTAGCCCCTGAATTGCATCGTGTAATGTGTCTTGCTTCTTTATATTTATTTTTTGCAGTGGATTCAGAAGTCAATCATTCTTTGACTGCTTTGACTTTTTTTTAACAAATCTTGTATGTATGGTACATCGACTTGTTTAACCATTTGTGGCTTGGTAAGTTTTAGTTCTTCTAGAGATGTTTGGCTAAAGGGTAGATGTTGTTTCTTGTTGCTTCTGTTGTTTCGCCATGTAAGTACCATCAAGAAACTAAAAAAGGACTCTCTAAAGCTCCCAATTGGTAACTATCTATTCTGATACGATCATGAAAGATTGGTATGTTAGAATGTAAATAGACTTCTCTCACTTTATTTTTCTGGTCATTTTCTTTAACCTCAACTCAAATTGAAATGGTTGAATTAGAAGATAACCCTCATCAGAGTAAGATGTAATAAAAACAATTAGATACAAAAAGGGAAGTTGGAATTCGGTTTGTAATGTATTTAAAGCTTTGTTTTCGCCCGCAAGTGATACTGAATATATGAGGTGAGACCTGGGACCTCATTTTTCTTTTATTGAACGTAAAAAGAGATTAGTTGTGTTATACAAAAGTGCATCTGTTTTACTGGCATCAGAACTATAGCAGATGACAACACCATTTAGTTTCATTTTAGTCATACTCACCAGAGTGAGTAAAACAGTGTTGGAATAAATAAAATAAAATGAATCTCTTTCTACCACAATTTATAAACATCTGCCTCTTCTTGCAACATCTTCTTCTTCTTCTTCTTAATATTCTGTCGATTAATGAAAATGTTGCCTTTATGTATATATACTGGTTGAAGCTCAAATCAACTAGTATTTGGTATGTCTCTTATTGACAGGCTCCTTTGAATGATGATGCATGGTGATATATATACTAGGGGAGAGTTATAAAGAAAGGGCTGAGGGCAGCATGCATGCATGATGAGGAAGTTACAGAGACAGACAGACACATGATTACCTTTTTTTTTTTTTAATATATTTGACTGCTGAGTTCTTTGATTTAACATACAAAATTTCGTATTTTAATAATTATATGTTTTATTCTTTAACCGAACATATTGGATATTTGTGGATACCTCTTTTAAAAGCCTCTCGCATCCGGTGCACCCTTTTAACAAATATATCCGCACCCAAATCTACACCCTAGTTGCTTTTTTCTTCTTCTCTCGATGTCCGTTGAAACAACAATACCCACAAAATTCACCGGTAAGATCTGAATCTCTTGTTTGCCTTTATCTAGATTAGATTTCATCTGTCATGTTAAAGAAGCTAGCATCAAACCTTCTTTTTATTTTTCTTCAGTTTCGTAATTGAGTTTTTTTTTTTTTTTCTGAAACATGGCAGATGGTAAGATACGCGTCTTCTGGGATGTGACGGATTTCCCCGTCCCAGAGGGTCGCAGGATCCGTGAGATTGTTGATTCTGTTCTTAAGAAAAGGGGCTATAAAGCTGAGGCGTCAATCAAGGCTTATGGTGGGACGGATCCTGATGAAGACAATCCTCTGGAGAGTGGAATCATCTTCCTACAAAAAAGTGAGATTTTCCTTTTACTCTCAAAAACATATATGCTTATATACTATGTATTGTATTAAGATGTTGTATTTGTATGTAATGTTGATGATTAATAATATTCCAGGGGATAAATATTGGAGGCTTCATAGTCTATTAGTAGACTTTGCTTTGGCCGCAGCGGAAAATCATAAGCCCCATTATCATTATGTACCATTAACTTTGATGGTAGTCGCAAAAAACATCAAGGAAGATACTGAGTTCGTCCATCTTCTTCAAAACGTGAATGCTGCAAATTTCAATGTCTTGTTAGTACTGCCTGATGTGTACGATCCAAAACAAGTGACACTTGCTGACGTTAACTTGGTTTGGCGTTGGACAAGCCTACTAGAGGGAGGAGATCCTATGCCCGAAACCGAATTACAAGCCCTAATAGATCAAGGAGGCAAACGAGAGTGTTTCTTCCCAAATATTCCTGCTGCTGATGTCATCATGTCGTCGCCTTATGATGATGAGTACTAGCTGTGGCGATGCAATCTACAACAATAATGAGATCCGATACTTTTGATTTCATGGCTCGTGTATGAAAATTTCATGTTATTCTTCTTTTCTTAAACCCTGTTTTGTTTTTGTGTTCAACCCATCTTGTACGGTTTTTAATTACTTTTGCTCTGTCCGTCTCCTCTATTGTTGTTTTTATAATATGATTAACTGAAGAAAATCACCAAAATATTCGGTGGATAACGTCTCTTTTCAGTTCTCACTAAGAACTGAACTTGGTGTTGTCATCCCACACAGGTCCCGGTAATTTATTGTGATTATGTCGGTACTACTCATCTTGCTGCAAATCCGATCACACACAAAACCCTATTCAAACTCATTGTCTCCTCTTGTGATTCCTCTCCCTCCCTCTGCCACATAGAGTCTGTTTTCTCAGTAGATTCTCTCTCACTTTTTGTAAGCCTCTTCTTCTCCGTTGCCAATTATTTTTAAATCCTTTCGTTTTCGACCTCTCTCGCCTTCACTGTTCTAAAGTAGTACCGTTTTGCCGCACAAAGCTAGTTCCTTTTTTACTGATGACTGGAGTGGTTCGTAGATCTTTGAGTGTTTAAATGTTTTCTGTGTGTTAGATAATGAGGGTGTAATAAGTCTACCCTGATCAGACCTTAGGTCAAAAACAATACTTTTCCATTTAAATGATTACTTCTGGAATTTCAAGCTTTCTGTGTTGGGACTTATATGAATTATATATCCAATCTTAGGTTCATATGTTTTAACTAGAATTTAATCATAGCCTCTTCTGAATTAAAAGTCCGGTATCTAAGACTTGAGGTTGTAAGTTTGTAACTTCTCTGACTTAACCGTCACAATATATATATATATATACAATATGAATTAGAGAGAAAGAGAGAGAAGTTAAGGTTTTGGCGAGGATTAAGGAGGGGTTATAGTGGGTTTTAGAATTAGCGTAACCACCTCCTTATTATTAGGCCTTGTTTCTTTTATTTTATTTTTCTTATACCTCATTTCAATAATTGTAGATTTATTGATTTTAGAGTAACCGCTGTAATTAATTTTGAGACTGTTTGTAAATATATTACCTTCACGGCTTCACGTTACCTTCTGTACAAACTACAAAGCGGTGAAGCCTATATACCAATTCAGCCCATACAATTTAAAGAAGATTCATTCAATAACATTTTTTAAGTTTAGTAAAAAAATTCATACTAATACTAATAAGCTGTTAAATTAATTTTATATGCTTTTATTAGTTGAAAAAGTCATTATTTGTTTTTAAAATTATATAAACAAAAATATAGCTGAAATCATTACTTGTAGTTTTAAAAATAGAGAAAATTATTTACGTTAAAGTTTATATGTGTTTTTAAAAAAAATGCTTTTAATCAAATTGGGATATGGGTCTTAGCCCGACTAATTCAATGAATGAACAAGTCTCTCTTCTTCACAGTTTTATCAACCCATCATTTAAATCAAAACTAAAACCCAAACCAAAAACCCAATTTACAACAAAGTGATTAAGAGAAAGTAAATTTAGTTATATTTATCGTTTTTATATTTTTTTACTGGTAGCTCGATTGACTCAGTCAGTAAAAGAGAGAGAGAGCTACGGTTTTAGGGGCTGAAGTTGAGAGATTTGTGGTTCCACGTTGCTCTTTGACTTTGCCGCCAAGTTTTCTAACTCCACGTGTCATACTCTCTTTGACTTTGTCGTCAAGTCTTTTTTCTTCTTTTCCTTAAATTGGTAACTTACTTAATAATGGGTCGAAATAAATACAACAGGCCTGAAGTAATAAAACTTCATGGGCCTTTTTAATAGAAAGCCCATTTATCTCAAAAGAGAGCAGAAATCAAAAATCTTCGTCTTCTCTCCTTATTCCTCTCCATAAGACACAAGAAGAGACAGAGGAGGGAAAGAAGCAGAAGAACCCCTAAAACCCTTGAGCAACCCTCTATGAATAATACTACTACCTGAATACTTTTTTGTTTTTTACTCAATCGATACTTCGAGATGCGATTTTTGCTTCGTTTACCACAAACCCACCTGCGGAAACTCTCGTGCTCGATGTCTCTACTCATGGGTTCCAAGCAATTCCTCGAGTTTTGTCTTCTTCCTTCTTTCGCCGTATGCTCTTCTTCTTCGTCTTCTCCTGGTAGGCAGCTATCTTCTGTTTCTAGAAGATTCCGTCCGGTTTTGGCCTCAAGACCCGTGTCCAAAAACAGTCCATTTCACCAAAAGACCAATGGTTTATCATCTTACACTTCAATCCCTAGAGTCCAAACTCCTGGTATGTGTTGTATGCTTGAATTCTCTCTTCCGATTTCTGTTTATGTTTGGAAATATGGACATTTGGGGTTTCATTTTTAGTCATTTAGGATTCTGATTATGTTCCTGGTGCTCCCCTTTTGGAGCTTCACTATGTTTTCATGCTAATCGTTCTTGAGCCCTCTTGTTTTTCTATGTGTATGCGACTTTTGTTTACTAGCTGCTTGCAATACAACAAGCTCTAATAATGGAACTGTTTGATGAATTTCCCCACATTTTTCTGCTTTGTAGTTGATCCTGAAGAAGAAGAAGCAGACAAGAGGGCTGTTTCATCTAAATTAGTTACTTTGAGGCGTAAATTATTTGAACAAGGAATTGATGCTCAAAACTGCCATCCAGGACAACATAGTGGCTTGACATGTCCGCAGGTATTTATTGATTACCCAAAACTTGAGTACTCTTGTGAATGTTACTTTCATAAATGTTTGCTCTTTCTTGTCGGATTCTTGTTGAGTATCTGGAAAAAATCTAATTTATAATGTCCACTGTTGTTGTGGGTACATTCAGTGTGAAGGTGGAGACTCTGGAGAAAAAAGCCTGTCTCTTTACGTTTCCCCGGATGGGTATGCTATCTTAATATCTCATTAGATAAGTTTGGTTTTGAACTTGCTTTTCATGAGACTGTAGTTAATCATGGTTTTGTAGTTCGTCAGCTAAATGGAATTGCTTTCGGGGGAAGTGTGGGTTAAAAGGGGGAGTACAGGTGAGCTCCGTTGGTTGAGTTTAAGTACGACCAACATTTTATAAAGTAAAAATTGATAATATTTGAACTTATCCTCATTCCTGTTTGCAGGTGGATGGTAAGGTGGCAATGAATCGTAAGGTGGCATTTGCAGATTCAATAGAGAAGGTTGAAAGAAAAGTTACAGTGGAGAGTTTAGAGCTAGAACCTCTCTGTGATGAGGTGGTTGTCTTCTTTTATAAGTTTCTTTGACATGCTTATTCTTATTCTTTCTTCTGTGTCTACTGCTTCTCGATAATTGGACTGAACTTTCTGAATTCTTTATTTCGTTGTTGTTACATGAGTTTGATAATATCTATTGTATTCTTGGTTATGCTTCAGATTCAAGAGTATTTTGCCGCAAGAGGGATTTCAGGGAAAACGCTTGAGAGAAATCGTGTTATGCAGAAAAGAATAGGTGATCAGGTACCTTACGAGTGTTCTTCTGAATTGGTTATTTTTCAAGAATTTTTTTCTGTCTTGAGGTTCTAAAGGAGCTGTTACTTCGCACTTGTTGTCCCATCTTGATTGCAATTTAGAAATCCTGATTTATCTAGTTACATTCTTATCTTATGGAACATGCTTGGTTCTGGTCCTGTGTGTCCGACTATTTCCTGCTACATTTATGGGCAGATTGTGATTGCTTTTACGTATTGGCAAAGAGGGGAGCTTGTGAGTTGCAAGTACCGGTATCTAACTAAGAAGTTCTTTCAGGTTCATGTCATACACATTCCCTTCTCAATAGCATACATGAACAACTCTCTTGAGCTTTCTGTTACGACTATTCTCTTACATGCTTTTTTCTTTGACTTTCTTTCAGGAGAAGAATACACGGAGGATCTTTTATGGGCTTGATGATATAGAAAAAGCATCGGAAATCATTATAGTATGTCTGCCTTTATCTCCTTTAAATTATCATATGATTGATGAACTACACAGTCAAAAGCAGAATTTTAATTCTTTGGAGAAATTAAACGTTAGGTTGAAGGGGAAATAGATAAACTTGCAATGGAAGAGGCTGGTTTTCGCAACTGTGTGTCTGTTCCTGATGGAGCTCCAGCGTCAGTTTCTTCAAAGGAAACCCCATGTGAATCCAAGGTTTGCCTGGTCTTCTAGGTTTCATACTTCATATCTCTTTTTTCCATTCTCTCTTATTTGATTCCTAAAGCATTTTACTGTTCTGTGAAGCTAGGACACGAAGTATAAGTTCCTATGGAATTGTAATGACTATCTAAAAAAGGTATGTGCTAACTTATTATTTGGTTTGATTTGTGATTGTTTGAATTTCACCATTCCAAGAATCTGGATATAAAATGGTTTTTATTTGTAGGTGTCTCGGATTGTCATTGCTACTGATGGAGATGGACCTGGTCAAGCTCTGGCGGAAGAAGTTGCACGACGTTTGGGTAAAGAAAGATGTTGGCGTGTCAAATGGCCGAAGAAAAGTGAGGATGAACATTTCAAAGATGCAAATGAGGTTATATAGGTTTATGTAACTTTTATGAAATTGCTTTTGTGGTTACTTTAATTTAAATGACCACAATGATTCCTTACTTTGATTATTTTCTTAGGTGCTTATGTCTAAGGGACCTCATTTAGTCAAGGAAGCTATTCTAAATGCTGAGCCATACCCTATACAAGGATTATTTGCCTTCAAAGATTTCTTTGATGAACTTGATGCCTTCTATCATCGAACACATGGATATGAGTATGGTGTTTCAACGGGGTGGAAAACTTTGGACAACTTGTATAGTGTAAGCGTCAAAGTCATGTTATTTATTTAATATTGCTGTAGGCTCATCAACCAATGTGATATATTAAATTTGCTCTTGATCAGGTTGTGCCAGGGGAGTTGACTGTTGTGACAGGGATTCCTAATTCTGGAAAGAGTGAATGGATTGATGCTTTGTTATGCAATCTTAACCATAGTGTTGGCTGGAAATTTGCTCTCTGTTCAATGGAGAATAAGGTGTGTTTCTGACCTTGTCCATGGGAAAACTGCTTTATAGTAGTTTTACCTGATTGTTCTTGTTTGTGCTGCTTCCAGGTACGAGATCATGGCAGGAAACTTTTGGAAAAACATGTAAAGAAACCATTCTTTGATGCAAAGTAAGCCTCTTTATGAAAAGACCCACAGAATCTGATTGAAGCCAAGAACTGGTGCTCTTGTATAACTTTGTTCTTTCTTGAAAGTGGTGTGTATGTTTCTCCTTTTTTCTCAATAGTTATGGGAGCGCTGTCCAACGGATGAGTGTTGATGAGTTGGAGGAAGGGAAAGAGTGGTTGAATGAAACCTTCTTTCTCATAAGGTAAAATATTCAGCCTTTATAGAACTCGCCTCTCCGCTGATACAAATAACTACCTAAAGACCTGGAAGTTGCATAACTTGGACATGATATGGTAATATTTTGGTGTTTGGGGTTCTCGTGATTAATCAGATGTGAGATGGATTCACTTCCAAATATTGAATGGGTTCTGGAACGTGCAAAAGCTGCTGTCCTTCGGTATGGGATTCGAGGACTTGTTATAGATCCTTACAATGAGCTTGATCATCAACGTACACTACGGCAGTGAGTGAAGAAATTGTTTTCCTATCAATAAGTTTTACATTCTTTCGTTTCTCACACATGATAAAATTTTATTTGTTTTGATAGGACGGAGACAGAGTATGTTAGCCAGATGCTTACAAAGATCAAACGCTTTTCCCAACACCACTCCTGCCATGTCTGGTTTGTCGCTCATCCAAAACAGTTGCAACAATGGGATGGAGGTGCACCAAACCTATATGATATTAGTGGCAGCGCACATTTTATAAACAAATGTGACAATGGTATAGTAATTCACAGAAACCGCGATAAAGAGGCTGGACCTCTTGATCTAGTGCAAGTGGGTAGCGATCCCTTCATCTTCATGTGTAATGTAATTTAAAAATTGCCTTCTTATTGTGTAAAGTTCCTAATTTTTTTGTATGTTTCAGGTTTGTGTGAGGAAAGTACGAAACAAGGTTGCAGGACAAATTGGTAATGCGCACTTGTGTTATGATAGGTACATATTTTCAACTGTCTTCTTATTTCTATATAATCTCTAACGGACTGCACAAGATTTCACAAGAACATATGATAAGTATTTCATATGGTACTTTGGCATTGAAAACTAGCTGAAGTTATTCCCAAGTACTCCAAGTTAGATGACAGAGCTTAGCGTTTGTAGAGAGACCTTTGCCTAAAACACCAAACCTTTGTCAAAAATCTGTTCGAAGTTACTATCGATTTTGGTTCAGTAATGAAATCTTTTTTATGACAGGACAACTGGTTTATACTCGGATTCTCCAGTGAGCCTTGTGATGCCTGAGAGGAGATCAAACAAGCGGAACTAATCAGTTTGGTTAGTCTAAAGACCGTCAAACACGTTGGACATAGCATATGGATAACATTTGTCAACTAGATTTTTATTCCTGTTGGTTACCATTGGTGAGGAAAAAGATCTTCTCTTGAGAGCATTATTGTTACCCCTTTGTTTTTTAAACAGACTGTCTCTGTTAGAAAGAACAAGATTCTAGATTTCTAGCTCTATGTAAAATATGGATCGTCGTGCTTCTCTCTCTCTTGCGTCTCTGGTTGGTCTGATGATCCAAAACGCTTGATTTTGTGTACAGCTCTGTGATATTTTTGTGCTCTGTCTCTTTGTATAATTCGTTCTGGTTCTCCCTGTCTCTGTCTCTTCCTTTTGTTGCGGCTGATTTGGCGGGTGAATTAGCTTAGCTGTAACAGTTTGACCGCAACAACCTCGCTGTGTTGTTAATATTATTAATTATGCAAATCGGTTCAATTATTTCCACTGTATGTGCCCTACTTCCTTTGTGTTTTGTCAATCTAATTGATGATTTTTGTGAGTAAAACAATATACATTGTCACGCATATATATTATACAATAGAATCAGTTGCGGCGGTGCACTATAAATGTCATCACATAATCATTGCGACTACGTAATCAATAGGTGGAGATGTGGAAATATTAATATTCGCGTCAAAGGATGTTTTAGACCATGACCACTGAGATATCTCGAATTTGCATGTCTTGTAATGTAAAATATTCAATTAGTGATATCTGTCTCAGGGCTAATCGTAACTAGTTTTGATTATCAAGAATATTAGTGTCTTTATTTTAATTAGCTTTGTTTGTCAACAGCTAGGAAAACAATGTTAAAAGCTGATTTGTATAAAATGAAAAATGAAAAATAAGGAATATATATATTTAAGGACCAAAAAAGAGTTGGAAAAAGAAACAACCGTTACTAAAGAAAAGATTCTTCTCGACTAGGCATATTATTATACTCCTGCATACATGGTACTTTCTAAATTCTAATGATATAATTAAATCAAGTGGTAAACTTCAGTTACTGTAAAATTAGAAAACAAACAAAACAAGAACACACAAAAAAAAAAAAAAAAAAAGGGTGACATTGGTTGTTGTGGAGAGTGGAGAGTACAGTATGTGTGTATACAACAACGCCACCACATCCGTCCGTTGCGCCGAACATACTCTGTCACGTACCACACGTGTCGCTCTCTCGTTGGGCGACCAGATCAGCTTAGACGACCGTTGAGTCTTGAGAGAACATGAGAAGCGTGGGACCTGCAAGAGATATTAGTATTACTATAAAGAGAATTTGCCAGGCTGGCGTATCTGTGACAGCGTGGATAATCGGACGGCTGTGGTTGGTTCTTTCTGTTTCTTTTACTGGTAGGGTCCAATCATGTGACCGTTGCTGTGAGTCTGGTGGGGTCCACTACACCTTAGGGTTTTTTTTTTTTTTTTGTTCTTCTCTTCTGCTCTGTCTCTCTGCTGCTGCTGCTGCATAAATCTCCCATCTCTCTCTCTCTCTCTCTCTCTCTCTCTCTCTTATAAGTCATAAAAACCTTATAGCTTTTTTTCCCACTGCAGCCTAAAACACACACAAAGAAGAAGTGAATTAAGAGAGATTCATAAGACGAATCTTTGCTTTACAGAATCGTATCATCTTCTTCTAGGTTTGTTCCTCCTCTCTGCTTTTTTCTTCTCTTTCGAAGCAGTTAAAATTCGATTACTTTTTTTGAGTTTTAATTCTCTTGGTCTTTTCTTAGTTACTATAATTTTAGGTAGCTCTTGTTTTGTTGAGAAAAAAAATATAGAAAGTTTCAGTCTTTCTTTTTCTTCCTGCAATCTATTTTGGTTAGCTCCTCAGTCGAAATGGAGAACTAAGTATGGTCAGATTCCTTTTTTTTTTTTTTTTGCAAGAATCATGTTTCTTATTATAGATCTCTTATCGTAGCAGGATATAGACTAAGCTAGGTTTTGTTTTTAGATCTCTAGTAATCAAGAAAGTGAATTTGTTTTTTTGGGTTGTTTACTACTCTGGTTGTTTTCTTAGGAGAATTTGTGACTAATATTTTTTTTTAAATATTGGTTTATTAACAGGCATTTAAGAGAAAAGATGACTGCTGAAGTTAAGGTTGAGGAGAAGCAGGTGGAGTCTGAGGTTGTTATTGCTCCTCCTGCTGTTGTTCCGGATGAGACTACTGTCAAATCTGTTGTGGAAGGAGGAGAAGACGAAGCTGTGGAAGAGACCAAGGTTGATGATGATGAGAGCAAGCCCAAGGGTGTGGAGAAGAGTGCCTCGTTTAAAGAAGAGAGTGATTTCTTTGCTGATTTGAAAGATTCTGAGAAGAAGGCTCTTGGTGATCTCAAGTTGAAGCTTGAGGAAGCTATTGTTGATAACACTCTTCTCAAGACCAAGAAGAAGGAGAGCTCTCCTGTGAAGGAGAAGAAGGAGGAGGTTGTGAAGCCAGAAGCTGCTGCTGAGGTAGAGAAGAAGAAGGAAGAAGCAGAGGACAAGGTTGAGGAAGAGAAGAAATCTGAGGCTGTTGCTGTTACCGAAGAAGCTGTGAAAGCTGAGACTGTTGTTGCAGAAGAGGAAGAGATGAAGACTGCTGAGCCTGTTGTTGAGAAGGTAGAGGAAGAGACTAAGGAAGAAGTGAAAGCTGAGAATGTAGAAGAAGAGAAGAAAACCGAGGATGTTGTTACCGAAGACACCAAGGAAGAAGCGAAAGCTGAGACTGTCGAGGAGGAGGAAGCAGATGAGTCGGTTGATAAAGATATCGAGCTGTGGGGAGTGCCATTGCTTCCAAGCAAAGGAGCTGAAGCTACGGATGTAATCCTCTTGAAGTTCTTGAGAGCAAGAGACTTCAAAGTGAACGAAGCTTTTGAGATGCTGAAGAAAACCCTGAAATGGAGGAAGCAACACAAGATTGATTCGATCCTTGGAGAAGACTTTGGGGAGGAGCTTGCCTCTGCTTCTTACATGAACGGTGTTGACCGCGAGTCACACCCAGTTTGCTACAATGTCCACAGCGAGGAGCTTTACCAGACATTTGGAACAGAGAAGAACAGAGAGAAGTTCTTGAGATGGAGGTTTCAGCTCATGGAGAAGGGAATCCAGCAGCTTAATCTGAAACCAGGAGGTGTTACTTCTCTTCTACAGATCCATGATCTCAAAAACGCTCCTGGAGTGTCAAGGAAAGATCTCTGGGTTGGAATCAAGAACGTAATAGTAACTCTGCAGGACAATTATCCCGAGTTCGTGTCTAGAAACGTGAGTTCCATCAATCTCCATCCTCATTCTTTTACTTTGAGTTTCATTGGTTTGGTCTATTGACTTTGTTGTTTGTTTTGTTCTTGTGCAGATATTCATAAATGTGCCGTTCTGGTTCTACGCCATCAATGCTGTCCTCTCGCCATTCCTAACGCAAAGAACCAAGAGCAAGTTTGTTGTGGCTCGTCCAGCTAAGGTTACAGAGACTCTTCTCAAGTACATTCCAGCTGAGGAGCTTCCAGTTCAGTACGGTGGGTTCAAAAGAGATGACGATACCTCATTCTCCAACGAAGCTGTCACTGAAGTTGTTGTTAAGCCTGGATCATCTGAAACCATCGAAATCCCAGCTCCTGAGGTAAACATATTCAAGAAACCAAACCATGTCTTCTCAAAGAAGTTGTCAAAACACAGTCTTTCTTACAAATGTGTGTTTTGTGGTTTGTTTTCCATTAGGCTGAAGGTACATTGGTATGGGACATAGCGGTTTTGGGATGGGAAGTGAATTACAAGGAAGAGTTTGTGCCGACCGCTGAAGGAGCATACACAGTAATTGTCCAAAAGGCGAAGAAGATGGGATCAAATGAAGAAGCGATCAGGAACAGTTTCAAGAACAGTCAGGCTGGTAAGATTGTTCTCACGGTCGACAATGTCTCTAGCAAGAAGAAGAGAGTTCTGTACAGGTACAGGACCAAGACTGAAGCCTCTTCCTGAAGTAGAGACTTCTCTGCAACCTCCGGATATATAATATTCTTTTTCTAAATTCAATGTTTGGTGTTATTATTTATTTATGAGTGATATGTGCGAAAGAAAGAGAGAGAATTACTGCTTCTGCCATTGTTTTATTGATGAAATTCAATCTTTTGTTATGAGATTTTTTTTTATTATCTTCCGTTTCTATTTGATTTATTTATTTTGATTAAAATTGTATCAAATAATAAATATGTTCAACAGTTCAAGTGATTGTGATTTAATAGTTCAAGTGGAATCGGTGGTACTTCTCGTTGGAAAAAAATTTCAGCCAATATTTCAGCCTTGGTGGATGAGTCAATTTGGTGTCTTTCCACCTTTAACTTGCCAAAAACAACACGTATCCTTCTACATGTCCTTACGAGACCAGCTTCTTTTGCTTTGTAATGTTTTATTTTGGGCTTATTTTAAACTTTGTTTTGTATTGTTGGATTCTGATCACTATGTAATTTTTCTTTTTGGAAAATCAATGGAATTTTCGACAAAAAAAAAAGAAAAAAATATATGGACTGGATTTAGAAAAATGCCCAATGGCCCTTCAAAGTGACTATAGGGCCAACTACTAAAAGGCGTCGCATAATTTTATTACTATTTCAACGCTTTGACCCATTGTACGAAGTTCAACGATAATGAAGATAATATTTATCTACGTCTGCTCTATTTATAGTTTATCTTTCTTATAGTGGATGTTTCTCAATAACAAGATTATTTGAGCATAACAAATGAATTAACAATTAAGTGGTATCAATCTAGTATTTGGCTAATGATAGTGATCGTGATTAGTAGTTAAGAGACATTAATCTCTAGGTCCATCCCAAACACGTATGAATCTTTAGGCACATAAGTCCTCGGATTAATTAATCATCTACGAAAAAAAAAAAGATATTACTATATGACATGTTTTTGGATGATAGATAACATTTGGTGCTTCTTTAAACTTTTACGTTGAATAATTCAGTTGTTGAAATACGTCTCGTTTACTTTTGAGTACATCTAAAAACAGGAAAGGTTTGACAATTAGACACCCTTCAACATCTTGTGAACCAATGAACATCATATCTTAATCCAAAAAATTGGAAGGACCAACAGAACTAGAATCTAATCCAAATTAGTGCTTGGACAATCATTGAATTCTAGCTACAAAATATAATCCATTATAGAAAACGTACGGTCGACAAAAGAAAAAAAAAAGAAAGAAAGAAAACGTACGTTGTTTACAGAAACAGTTTATAAATTTGGGTCAGTAATGTTATTGAAATTTCAAGGAGTTATAATTTTATCTTTTATACTAATCCGATTGATGATGCATTTGACTTTTAGCCTAGTGGACGTACGCGGCGATAGGAAACAAAAAATGTCACAAGAAAGCTATTCTTTGTGTTTCCTATAATTGGTAATGGTACATTACATACATATTAGTGAATAAAGAACAAATAGAAATATTGATGTGAAAGCTTTCTTGATTGTACCCGCTATGTATCGATATGAAAAATTCCGGATTCTTCTATAGTGGTGCCGAATATTTTGTAAGGAATTTTGAATGAATGGCGGCACAAAATGTCTTAGCAATCTTTTTTTGAGGCTTTAAACGCTTCATTACCAATGGTAGATAGTCAATCAATAGATTAATGCCTTTGTTAAAAAGTAAAAATTGCTGAAGTTATTACGACACTACATGCATGGTATCATCATATTTACCTACGTGCACCATTCTGTTATAAATTTGTGTCGCCGTCACATCTTTTATAGATTAGATGACTAGACCAACTTATCATTTAATTCATTTTTTACATATTTATTTTCAATAAAAAAAAAATAGTATGCACTTTATAGTTTTTTTTTTTTGTTTTTTCCTCCATAAAGATGTGTTAAAAATGTGAACTTTGGACAAACTTATGGATGTACGTGTTCAGTACTGACTAGTTAACCTCATTGTGAATGTCCTCCGCCTTTGATGTAGATACCCATGTGCCATAGATTCCGGCTGATCTTTGTATGTTGACAAAGAAACAAAAATGGCTAAAGCAATAAGAAAATTGATCTAGAGGACATGATTGATTATTCAATGAACGCTTCTAGAGAAGAAGTATGTATGATTCATTCATTAGCATATGATCTTAAGGAAATGTTTGGCAGCTTGAATTACCTCCGTGTGGCTAGGAGACAATTAGAGAGGAGAAAAACAACAATACCTTTTTTTTTGTAGGAAAAACAACAATGCCTAGCATATAAGTAATAACATATAAACAATTGAAGAATGAATTATCATAAATCAATCAACCTTAATGCGTGGAATTTAAGGCAAATAATGATTACAAGACTCCATAAATAATATATGATGCGCCAAATAGAGAATAAGTAAGTTTCTATAAGTGAATAAATAACAAATAGAGGCTTGAACGCTTAATTGGCTTAATAATCAATAGATAAATGCCTTTGTTATTATTTAAAAAAAAAATCCAAATTTTGTACAAAATTGCTGAAGTGAATACGACACTAGGACGCATGCATGTCATCATCATGTTTACGTGCACCATTCTATTAAAAAAAAATTGTGTCGCCGTCACAATTTTTATAGACTAGATGACTAGATGAACTGATCCTTTAATTCTTCTCCGTTTTTATAGATAATTATTTACAATTAAATAATTTGTAACTTGTGAAAGATTTACACTTCTCCTTCTATAAGTGTTTTCGTCAAAATCATGTACTTTCGTAAAGTAGAAGAACACCTCGTTGAAACAAAATGCATTTGAAAATATGTTTATCCTGGAAGTAAATCTTAATTTCTAAAACAAATTGTTTGTGTGAAAGATTTCTAAACATTTGTTTCACGTTTGCTTATTTATGATTATCTTTAGGTTATAGACTCAAGGCTAACCTATTGATGGAACATATAAACGTTAATTAAGGTGTAATATCTCTATTGTAGTTAACTAGATTCAACTTCTGATTTGTATTTTGCCGCTCCATGATAACATTTTATGGTCAGCCACTCAGCCATATGAAAGTCAAACCAGCCGCTAAAGTATGTCTTTCATTTTATAATTTTCAGTCCATAATTCTCTCACACATATTACGTATTCTCACAATATTTTATTTTTTTATATATTCTCACAATATTACGTATACAACCTCTCTATCTTTCATTTTATCAACAAAGCCTAAACATTTTATCTTGTATTTGTAATTTTGTAACCTAGAGAAAAAACATTACAAATTTATTCATTATTTGATTTAAGCATATTAACTAGGTCGGTAATTTCCTGAGTTGCACATAGTTAGACAAACTCCTATAAGACAAAAATAAATTGTTTATAATGAAATAACTAATATATAATCACTTCAAAAATATTATCATATATACAAAAATAAACACAATCTTAAAGTTTACAAATTTAAAACAGTTGTTCAGATAAGTAATATGAGCCATTCAGTTGCATTCAAAACTTTCCCCATTACAAAATTCATCTAACCGAGCAAGCGCTAAACCTTTCGTAAAGTCAACTAACTACTACCACCTAAAACATACTTAGCTTTTGATTCTTAATCTGGTCTAATAAAGGAAAAAGTACATTATAGTCTTTGAATCCCGTTAATGATATCTATTATTACACGTTGACACATGTTGTTGCAAATTGTAATTGTACAGTATTCTTTGAATTTTAAATATAAATTCTAGAATATCTATTCTCACTAAATCAAAATTAATCTTAAGGACAACTTGAACCTACATTTGACTTTTCCTGGTCAAATATTTTGGCGTCATGCATGAGCTTCTCTATAGTTATAAATAACTCAAAATCCTCGACGACAATCATAAACTCAACAATTGTTTTTTTCTATACTCCAACGTTCAATCTCTAGAAAATGAAATATCCAAGTATTATATTGGTTCCTTTTCTATTCTTCGTCGTCTTCATATTGGAGCCAAGTTCATCACTAGCAAATCCGGAGACTTTCACACAATGCCTAACCTCAAACTCCGACCCCAAACATCCCATCTCCCCCACCGTGTTCTTCGCCGGAAACGGCTCATACTCCTCCGTACTAGAAGCTACAATTCGTAACCTCCGGTTCAACACCTCCAACACTCCAAAACCCTTCCTCATAATCGCTGCAACACACGAAAGTCACGTGCAAGCCGCGGTTACTTGTGGCAAACGCCACAACCTTCAGATGAAAATCAGAAGCGGAGGCCACGACTACGATGGCTTGTCATACGTAACGTACTCTGGCAAACCTTTCTTCGTCCTCGACATGTTCAATCTCCGTTCGGTGGATGTCGACGTGGCGAGTAAGACCGCTTGGGTCCAAACCGGTGCCATCCTCGGAGAAGTTTATTACTATATATGGGAGAAGAGCAAAACCCTAGCTTATCCCGCTGGGATTTGTCCCACGGTTGGTGTAGGTGGCCATATTAGCGGCGGAGGTTACGGTAACATGATGAGAAAATACGGTCTCACCGTTGATAACACCATCGATGCAAAAATGGTCGACGTCAATGGTATGATTCAATATCTCTAGCTTCATTATTTTATATGATAACAATAATTTATAGTATGTCCTAAAAATCAACTAAACTCATTGGTTACTTTTGTCAAACGATCCGTCAACATAAAATGAATTAGACAACAACTAAACATTAGATATAACTATAATTTATGTGTTACACTTTATTTTTCTGAAAATTTATATAACAATTTCTTACATATATTCTCACTATATATCCATTGTATATTTGAAAATTTTCAGGAAATATATTAGATAGAAAATTAATGGGAGAAGATCTCTTTTGGGCGATTAACGGAGGGGGAGGAGGTAGCTTCGGAGTCGTTTTGGCCTACAAAATAAACCTCGTGGAAGTCCCTGAAAACGTCACCGTGTTTAGAATCTCCCGGACGTTAGAGCAAAACGCGACGGAGATAGTTCACCGGTGGCAACAAGTCGCACCGGAGCTTCCGGACGAGCTTTTCATAAGATTAGTCATTGACGTAGTAAATGGCACCAATACATCTCAAAAGACCGTCAGGGCATCATTCATAGCTATGTTCCTTGGAGACAAGACAACGCTCCTGTCGATCTTAAACCGGAGATTCCCAGAATTGGGTTTGGTCCGGTCTGACTGTACCGAAACTAGCTGGATCCAGTCTGTGCTATTCTGGACAAATATCCAAATTGGTTCGCCGGAGACAGTTCTACTCCAGAGGATTCAACCCGTGACCTACCTCAAGAGGAAATCAGATTACGTACGTAAACCGATTTCAAGAACCGGTTTAGAATCAATTTGGAAGAAAATGATCGAGCTTGAGATTCCTACAATGGCTTTCAATCCATACGGTGGTGCAATGGGGAGGATATCATCAACGGTGACTCCGTTCCCATACAGAGCCGGGAATCTCTGGAAGATTCAGTACGCTGCGAATTGGAGAGAAGATAGGTTAACCGACCGGTACATGGAGTTGACGAGGGAATTGTACCAATTCATGACTCCTTTTGTTTCCAAGAATCCGAGACAATCGTTCTTTAACTATCGTGACGTTGATCTTGGGATTAATTCACACAATGGGAAAAGAAATAGCTACGTTGAAGGCAAGCGTTACGGGGAGAAGTACTTCGCAGGTAACTTCGAGAGGTTGGTGAAGATCAAGACTAGAGTTGATAGTGGTAACTTCTTTAGGAATGAACAGAGTATTCCTGTGTTACCATAAGTAAAATCTTTATTTGATTATTATTGGTTAGTGAAATTTGTTGTTGTATAATTGATTATATGTTGTAATTAAGTACTATATTTGTCTCTGGTAAGTGGTAGTTAAGATTTGATATTACAACTTACAACTAGTAAATTATTGTTAAGTTTTATATGAAAAGCTATGGTTATAATGTAAAAATCGATATTCATATTTATGTACTATCTTATTTATAGATATGATTTTTTTTTTTATCGTCAACAATTTATAGATATGAAATTTAGTTTGGTATAACTGTCATATAGTACGTGCTGTAACGTGCAAACATTTTATATTTGTGAGCTGTAAATTTATAATCCGTTAGCATGCACCGACAACATACCTCGATATATGACCATACTTAAGTTAACGATGATCATGTTCAGTTCAGATGGACGTGTGACGCATGTGAATGTAATTGTATATATAATATTCTTTGAATTTGAAATATAAGTTCTAGAATGGCGATTATGTCTCTGAAATATAAGTTTCTAGAAATATTATATCTTTTAACAAAAAAAAAAAAAGTTCTAGACATATGGCGATTATAGTACTAAGCTTCGAGTTGAGAGATGAGTCAAGCCGATCATACAACATATCAAATGGATATTAAGCATATCAAGTTGTTCAAACCGAAAAAGTGATGATCAAATGGATTTGGTGGTTTAAATTATATGTTTGAATGGAAAAAAACTTTAGAAATTGGTTTTGAATAGTAAAAGAATACAATATCCCGTGTAAATCAGATAAATGCTTTTATAGAACTGCTATATTTCAAAATAAATTATATAGAAATCAGAAATCACTATTGTATTTTGTTCTTATTACCAAAAAAAATATAAAAAAAATATTCTTGTTTTTCGAACATGCATTTTTGTAACTTAGATAAACAATTCGGCTAATTTTGATAACTATGTCTGTGGCACAAAAAAATACCACATAAACTCTTAAATTTTCGAAACTTTTAGTAGCTACAACAATTTATTTTGAAAATAGAATTGATTAATAGATTTAATGTCACTATTATTAGTTTTAAAATAGAAAACTGTAGTTTTTTGTTTTTTTCTTTAAGTAGAAAAACGCACTTGAAAGTAACGACAATGAATCATGTTCCGCACACGTCTCGTCGATTTGGTTCACAAAGTAGAACCACACCATAGCAGAGGAGTAAGCGTTCCAAGCCACACATATTTGTACGTACCTGTTGATGTCAAATGTAAAGCCTAAATCAAAATCTCTGGGACAAACTTGAACCCACAATAGACTTTTCCTCATCAACCATTTTGGCTTCATGCATGATCTTCTCTATCAAGTCATAAACATTTGTTTTGAAAAGCGGTCCAGACTTTAAGCGACACCTAGAGAATAGTTTCGACCACAAGAAATTGTTTCTAGACTCTATTTAATTGTTTTCTTTTCTCCAATTTTTAACTCCATAAATTTTGTTTCCATGTACATTGTTATGAACATGCATATGTTATTTAATATATTAATGTTCTTACTTTTTATTTGGCCACACATAAATGTTTATATGTATTTAAGTTTTGTTTAAAATTTCTAATATTTTAATTTTACAATAGATGTTTTATATTGCAAACGTCAGAATCTCTCTAAATCACCACATTTTAACATTTGGTATAAATAGCACAAAATCCTGGACAGTGGCCACCACATTCACAAACTCAATCATCTAGTTTTTTTTTTTGTCTTAAAAATGAAATGTCCAAGTATAACACTGGTTCAGTCTCTAAAAATGAGATATCCAAGTGTTATGCTGGTTCTTTTTCCATTCTTCTTCGTCTTCTTATGGGAATCAAACTCACCTTCAGTATCCTCCGACACTTTCACACAATGCCTTACCTCAAACTCCGACCCCAAACATCCCATCTCCCCGGCCTTGTTTTTTCCCGGGAATGGCTCCTACTCCTCCGTACTAGAAGCTTACATACGCAACCTCCGCTTCAACACCTCCAACACTCCAAAACCTTTCCTCATAATCGCCGCAACACACGAATCCCACGTTCAAGCCGCGGTGGCTTGTGGTAAATACCACAAACTTCAGATGAAAATCAGAAGCGGCGGCCACGACTACGACGGCTTGTCATATGTCACACGCTCTGGCAAACCATTCTTCGTCCTCGATATGTTTAATCTTCGGTCGGTTGACGTCGACGTGGCGAGTAAAACCGCTTGGGTCCAAACCGGTGCCACCCTCGGAGAAGTTTATTACTATATTTGGGAGAAGAGCAAAACTCTTGCTTATCCCGCCGGAGTTTGTCCGACAGTTGGTGTCGGTGGCCACGTTAGCGGCGGAGGTTATGGTAACTTGATGAGAAAATACGGCCTCACCGTAGATAATACACTCGATGCAAGAATGGTCAACGTCAATGGTATAAACAACATCTCTAGCTAGCTTCACTATTTTATATTTTTATAAAATTTTATCAATCAAGTTCCTAATTATAACCAGTCAAACTCATTGGCATAGTGATATTTTTTTTAATAAGTTACACTTTAATTAGCCTAAATATTTATACAATTTCTTTAATATTTTCTTACTATACATATTTGAAAAAAAATTCAGGAAAAATATTGGATAGAAAATTAATGGGAGAAGATCTCTTTTGGGCAATAAACGGAGGAGGAGGAAGTAGCTACGGTGTCGTTTTAGCGTACAAATTAAACCTCGTGGATGTCCCTGAAACCGTCACCGTTTTCAATGTCTCCCGGACACTAGAGCAAGACGCGACGGAGATTGTTTACCGGTGGCAAAAAGTCGCACCGGAGCTTCCCGACGAGGTCTTCATAAGATTATTCATCGACGTAGTAAACGGCACCGTGTCAACTCAAAAGACCGTCAGGGTAGCATTCATATGTATGTTTCTTGGAGACGCAACAACGCTTCTGTCGATATTAAACCGGAGACTCCCCGAATTAGGTTTGGTCCGGTCAGATTGTATCGAAACGAGCTGGGTCCAATCTGTGTTTCTCTGGACAAATATGAAAGTGGGAACATCGGAGAGAGTTCTACTCGACAGGAACCAAACCACGAACTATCTCAAGAGAAAATCAGACTACGTACGTGAACCGATTTCAAGAACCGGTTTAGAATCAATCTGGAAGAAAATGATCGAGCTTGAGATTCCTACGATGGCTTTCAATCCATACGGTGGTGCAATGGGGAGGATATCATCGACGGCGACTCCATTCCCATACAGATTCGGGAACCTCTGGAAGATTCAGTACGCTGCGAATTGGAGAGAAGATAGGTTAACCGACCGGAACATTGAATTGGCGAGGGAGTTGTACCAATTCATGACTCCTTTTGTTTCCAAGAATCCGAGACAGTCGTTTTATAATTACCGTGACGTTGATTTGGGGACTAATCCACACAATGGGAAAATACGTAGCTACGTTGAAGGCAAGCGTTACGGTAAAAAATATTTCGCAGGTAACTTCGAGAGGTTGGTGAAGATTAAGACAAGAGTTGATAGTGGTAACTTTTTTAGGAATGAACAGAGCATTCCAGTGTTACCGCTAAGTGCATATTTATTTGATTATTGGTTAGAGAAAATTTTCGTATAATAAAAAGATTATATGTTGTAAGTCTTTTCGTCTATTTTGTTTACATCACGGCAAAATTATTTTTGTTATTAGTATTTCTTGTATAATAGTATATCAAATGTAAAAATGTAAGTAATCCACAGTAATTTTGTCATGTATTTAACCATGGTTTTTTTTTTTTCTTTCTTACTAACTTGCATGAGTAGGCACATTTTAATTGTAATAGTCCAAATTTAAATCCCACACACACTGACACACACCATTGGTGTCATTGACACTATACACGTAGCTCTCTCTCAGTCTCACTCTTATGAGAGCTTTATCATACTTTTCTACACCTTTCACTCTTATGAGAGGTGCGAGTTTGGGAAGACGTTAGCTTCGTTTATGGTCCAGCAGCTGACTCATGCTTAGTTTTTTATACATAATTTGTGTTGTTTACTTTTAGTTTCGACTTTCGATGTTAAAGTATCGTGAACATATAACAACGTATCATGAAATTATTCTCGCCTTTTGATGTTTTTAAATTAATTCGGATTTAGAGTCTCAAAATATGCATGATGCATCTTAACATCTTTATGTAAATATTATTGAGATTTTGAGATTCTAAATGAGACCCCATTCTAAATCTTTGGTCGTAATCAAATATAGTGTATGCATTTTAAAATGGACATGTGAACAATGTCTTTACCTACCAGAGAATCCAGAATTCTAGATTTGTGTAATCCAGAAGGGCCCCGTTGGTGTCTTGTATTTTGTATTTTTCTGGTTCCAAATATATTATTTGTTTATGATATTAATGAATTTTATCAAATGTTTACAAATGAAAAGCCCCATAAATCTTAACAACAAGTTCATTTCGATTTTTCACAGTCTCGTATGAAATAAACATACATTATCTTAAGTATCAAGAATCAATTTTTCGCGACTATATTCTTTGAAAGTTATGACTTATGAGCGTTACGTTGTCAACTCCGATACTAAATATATGAATGCATTCTCGTTTGAATAGTAATGAGAAAAGTCTAACTGAGGAAACTTGCATTAACGTTTTATAGGAACCCAAAGGAACACCTGAACCTAATCAACCCATCCGATCTTACTTATTAGGAAGTTCTAAGCCAATGTTAGAGGAGAGCTTGAGCAAGAAAATACATTCTCTCTAAGTAAATTGGCCTGACGGGGTTTATTACAAAAATAAAGCATACGGCCACACTGATGACAGCTTCTTGTTGTCACGAGAAGTCGAGACTCCTCCACACAAAAACCGACAAAGACAATAAAGACAGTATCACAATCACAAGTGCTTGCTTGCATGATTGCCAAGTTCTGACAACGAAGTCCATTTACATTTTACATTTTTAAATTTTACTTCAAATGGAAATAGACATAGTAAAGCCAGTTTGGTTTGGTCAGTTCTAGTAAATTTCTTGCTCATATATTTTATTTGCTAAAATTGTGATTCATACAATCTATTTCTTTTTTTGGTAATCTTCATACGATCTATTTAATACTATTAACTGGAATATACATTTAGGGAAATACCAGTTACCCTTATAAAATTTGTATCACAATGTTATTGGAAATATTTTTTTTTTAAAGAAAAAACCCGTTTCCAATTTTTTTTAATACGATTTTTCAAATTGAAATCTAGGCTATATGCATGAACGTTCATCTATACCAATATCTCTTAAGAAACCATCCCCATATATATTAAGAAAACCATTCTGTATGTGCCCAAATTAACAAAAATTACCAAAATCAGCTAAATCGCTTATCTTTATTACATATGAAATAAGAATATTCTACCTTTATTCTCTACTATCAAATATCACACTTTATAGTTTAGACTGTTTAGTAAAGTCATGTTAATTACTTAATTAGTGGATACATTACAATCTTCATAAATTAACACTTAATTCTTAAATCTTGATTCTTTTTTTCTTCTTTTTTTTTTTTTTGGGTGAGGTCTTAAAACTTGATTCTTATAAAAATAATGAAGTCTTATTTGTTTCTTTTCCAAAAAGAAGGATACATATACAGATCGATGATGCAATTTGTTTAGAATCTTGATTCTTTAAGATCTTTAGATTCTTGTTTCTTTTTTTCTTTAAAATTTTTATATTCTTGTTTTTATGTATATAATTAGAATGAAAGAAAAAGAAAAGAATCGAATAAGCTGAGCTTATAATTTAGGATAATTAAAGAAACAAATCGCCATATTAAGCACTAAATCTCCATATTGAGCTATTGACTAATTAATTTACAAAGATATCAAACTATCAAAAAGATATAAACTTACAAGAATAGTCGATTTCCTACCATTCATATCAATTTAACATATATATATACAAACCCCTTTACCAAATCTTTCAAAACCATACTCAACAAAAGAGAAGAAGAATGAAATCTCTAACAATTCAAACTCTAGTCATCACAATTTTTCTCTTCACAATCCCGACATTATTTGCATCACCACCAACACTAGAGGACGTTTTCGCACAATGTCTAACTGATTTCAAACCTTCAAATCCGAAATCCCCTATCCAAAACTTCATATACACTCAACAAAACCCTAAGTTCCTTACAATCCTCAACAACTACGTCCGTAACCTTCGTTACTTCAACAACACGACACGCAAACCCGTCGCAATTGTAGCTGCCGCTGATGTCAGTCACATCCAGGCTACGATCACTTGCGCCAAGAAACTCGCCCTCCAGCTCCGGATCCGCAGCGGAGGCCATGACTACGATGGTATGTCGTATGTATCAACAGTTGATTTTGTAGTCTTAGACATGTTTAATCTCCGATCTATCAAGATCGATCATAAGCTCGACACCGCGTGGGTCGAATCTGGTGCCATACTTGGAGAGATCTTCTATGGAGTCGCCAACAAAAGCAATGATCTCCGTGGCTTTCCAGCTGGTATATGCCCTGGTTTAGGCGCTGGTGGACATTTTAGCGGCGGTGGTTATGGAAACATGATGAGAAAATACGGTTTATCTATCGATAACATCATAGATGCTAAGATCGTTGACGTTAAAGGAAGAGTCTTGGACCGAAGCTCTATGGGAGAAGATCTTTTCTGGGCCATACGTGGGGGTGGAGCTGCTAGTTTCTGTGTTGTCTTAGCCTGGAAGATTAAGCTTGTCCCCGTGCCGGCTAAAGTCACGGTCTTTAACGTTGAAACGGTTGGAAACAGAGGAAGCGTGAACACCACGGAACTTGTAGCCAAATGGCAAGAGATCGCAGACAAGATCGACAATGATCTGTTCATAAGGTTAACTTTAAGCTCAAGCAACAAAACCGTGAAGGCTTCTTTCATGGGAATGTACCTTGGAAACTCATTGAAGCTTCTAAAAACCATGAACGCGCAATTCCCCGAGCTTGGTCTGAAGAAAACAGAGTGTATAGAAATGAAATGGATCGAGTCGGTTTTGTTTTGGCTAGGTATCCCACCCGGTACAGCACCAACATCGAGTATGCTAAACCGAATCCCACAAAAGCAAATCTACCTCAAGAGAAAATCCGATTACGTCCAAAAACCGATTTCAAGAACCGGTTTAGATGCCATATTCAAGGTTCTGTTAGAGAACGAGAACGTCACAATGGCTTGGAACCCATACGGAGGGAGAATGAGCGAGATTCCATCGACCAAGACCCCGTTCCCGCACCGAGCAGGAAACATGTTCAAGATTCAGTACGCAGCGAACTGGTTTGTTCCAGGGGAAGCAGTGGCTAAGGATTGCTTGAGCCAAACGGAAAGAGTGTTCGAGGCAATGAGCCCTTACGTGTCAAAGAATCCTAGAGAAGCCTTCTTTAACTATAGAGACGTTGACATTGGCACGAGCATGAACTCAACGTACAAGGAGGGTAAAGTATACGGCATGAAGTATTTTAAGAATAACTTCGAGAAATTAGTTAAGGTTAAGAGTAGAGTTGATCCCGATAACTTTTTCCGGTATGAACAGAGCATTCCAGTGCTCTCCAGCCACTAGAGACTAGACTGCTATTAACAATTTCTACCAAAAATTCTATATTATGTTAACGTGCAAGAAATAATATATTATTTGATGTACAAGCCAAAGAGTTTGAGCTCTCTGCTTTCATGGAATTCATCAATTCATGCATAAAAAACCCTTTTTCTAGGATTTGAAGACGAGGTAGCCCATTGTTTTCTTGTATGTAACCTTTGAAAAATATACAAAAGAAAAAGAGAATAACACACTCACATGCATGCAAAATATAGTATGAATGTATGATACATTTACTGACGAAGATTTATCAACGAAAACGGTCAACGCATAATTTTGATAAACAAGACTTGCACGATACACAGATCTGATCAAATACATATGTCTTTATTAAAATCTTACCATATCCAAACGATTACAATAAAATAAAAATACTCGATCCGTACATGTTATTAATCTCACACTGCAAAACAACAAACTTTTGAAAAGTCATACATACATTTGACATATTGACGCGTTATCGGCTATCGCTTTAAATACAACAATAACATATCAACAATACATTAAAAGTCAAAGTCAAATATGTTTAGTCAACTCTATAACACCTTTAGCTGTCAAAAACAATGTGAAATAAGAAAAATGTATATACATCAAAAACCAAGTTTGTATAATTGATGATATCCAAAAACCAAAATTTGTAGTTCTAAAACTTCGGCTGATTAACTTTTGAAAACTACTGACTTTGCTATACTAATTATTTATTTGTCACATTAGTTCGGATAAGATTGTATGACTAAACCTATACAAGAAACTATGGATTATGTTACTTAAGTATCACACTAATACATCCTCTGTATAAATATATTCACACACGACCTACACATTATATAATCCAAACTCGCATAAATAAACAAGCAAAACAAAAGAATGGACAAGTTACACGTAATCTCTCTGCTACTACTGATCTCAGCATCAGTTACAACTTCACAACCCGTGACCGATCCAATAGCTTTCCTTCGATGTCTTGATCGACAACCAGCGGACACAGCAAGTCCCAACTCCGCAGTCGCTTTCATACCAACGAACTCAACTTTCACCGCCGTCCTACGTCGCCGCATACCTAACCTCCGTTTCGACAAACCCACCACTCCAAAACCCATCTCCGTCGTTGCTGCGGCCACGTGGACACACATACAAGCTGCTCTAGGATGTGCACGTGAGCTCTCTCTCCAAGTCAGGATACGAAGCGGTGGCCACGACTTCGAAGGACTATCTTACATTTCCACCGTGCCTTTCTTCGTCCTGGACATGTTCAGTTTCAAATCCGTGGACGTGAATCTAACCGAGAGAACGGCTTCGGTTGATTCGGGGGCTACCATTGGAGAGCTTTATTACAGAATCGCTCAGAAGAGCAACGTTCTTGGGTTTCCGGCGGGTTTGAGCTCGACATTGGGCGTTGGTGGACATTTTAGCGGCGGAGGGTACGGTAACATGATGAGAAAGTACGGTTTGTCGGTGGATAACGTTGTCGGCTCCGGGATAGTTGATTCTAACGGGAATATATTCACGGATCGGGTTTCGATGGGTGAAGACCGTTTCTGGGCGATTCGAGGAGGTGGGGCTGCAAGTTTTGGTGTTGTGCTCGGCTACAAGATCCAGCTAGTACCGGTGCCGGCGAAAGTGACCGTCTTTAAAGTCCGAAAGACCACCAGAGAAGGAGCCGTTGATCTTATAATGAAGTGGCAAAGTTTTGCTCATAGTACGGATCGGAATTTGTTTGTTAGGCTGACGTTGACTTTGGTCAACGGTACAAAGCCTGGTGAAAAGATGGTTTTAGCTACGTTTACTGGGATGTATTTAGGAGGTTCGGATAAGCTGTTGAGCTTGATGAACCGGGGCTTCCCGGAATTAAAGCTGAAGAAAACCGACTGTACCGAGATGAGATGGATCGACTCGGTTCTTTATTGGGCTGATTATCCCATTGGTACACCGAGTTCGGTGCTACTAAACGCGACGGTCGACAAGAAATTGTTCATGAAACGGAAATCGGACTACGTAAAGAGACCGATTTCGAGAGCCGGTCTTGGTTTGATACTTAAGAAGTTGGTAGAGGTTGAGAAAGTTGAAATGAATTGGAATCCGTACGGAGGAAGGATGGGGGAGATCCCGAGTTCGAGGACACCTTTCCCACATAGAGCTGGGAATTTATTCAACATTGAGTACCTCATAGATTGGTCGGAGGCTGGAGAGAACGTGGAGAGGAAATATTTGGCACTTGCGAATGAGATGTATAGGTTCATGACCCCGTACGTGTCTAGTAACCCGAGGGAGGCGTATTTGAATTACCGTGATCTTGACATAGGGTCAAGTATTAGTTCCACGTACCAAGAAGGTAAAATCTATGGGGTTAAATATTTCAAAAACAATTTCGAGAGGTTGGTGGATGTGAAAACTACGATCGATGCGGAAAACTTTTGGAAAAACGAACAAAGCATTCCGGTTCGAAGATAATCAAATACCACACGATTTGTTGTGAGCTGTGAAAATGTGATCTTGTGATATGAATCAAGACTTAGCAAGAGAAAAAAAAAATGTATTAAACTTATTTGTTCAATATATATTGTTATTGAGTGCATTATGAAATATAAAGATTATAATTAATGAATAAAATCGACATACATTACCAATCGTTATTACAAATACACATAATTAACTATATGGTTCAATCGGTGATTTGGTGACACAAAACATCAAAACGTGTAATCGAGAAGATACTAAAATAAACGATTCAAAATATTTGAAAAGGCGCAAATTACAATTATAGAAATAGGTACATGCACAAATTGTTAAATTACCACTTTATGATTCTCATTTATTTCTAAGTTCTTACATGGGAGTATAGTCTAACAACCACTACTCACATGCAATGATGCAAAAGATGTATACACATTGATTGACCAAGACATTCAACGTTCTCTCTATATTAACGGACATCGCGGGATTTGTTTTAAAACAAGACTTGCACGATACACATATCATATTAATACATATTCTTGTTATTTTTGTATATCTTAAACCTCGAACCGTACTTCATCATCCATAACATAGTCCATAAGCTCCATATATATCGATTAGTCGTCAAAATTTTGCATATGAACATAATAAGCTAGCTAACCTTTAAAAGTCATATAATTAGATAATGACGCGTTTTGGCTATCACCTAGAGTACAAGTCAAACTCAAATTATATATAGTCCACTATAACATTCAATCCGGACAAATAACTTAGCTGGAATATAACGTGAGAATCATTTGTATATATATATATATATATACATATAAACCACAAATCTCATACCAAAACGCATACTAATGACTATAACTCGTCAAAAAAAAAAAGAACTTGTGCCTTTTCATATGTCGATAGAGGGAACAGTAAGTTTAATACAGAATGATATTCACTGTTTTCCTAATTAATCTATTTTTAGATTTGTTTTACACATAATAATACTTGATAAGAAATGCTTTAGTTTCTATAATTGATACCTAAAGTGTAGCCAAAATTACAATACGGCATGCTGCTTTGTTAAAAATTAACACCACTGAAACTTTTTGAATAGATAAGATGGTCGGACTAAAGAGTCACTTGCTTGTAAGCTTTGACATTAAATTGCTTAATTTTGGGCGACTCCTTGAATAATAAATTAGTCAACTTTAAGAAGAAAAAAAAAAAGAATAACTGTAAAAATACAAAAGAAAAAAAATAAGGATTGCTTTCTCTAGAGAACAAATACACCTTGGATTACCAAAAAAAATAATTGTTTACTGAAATGTACAATTAATTATTCGATCACATAAATACAAAAGTTATACACCTTACAAAATGAATCACAAATAACAAAGGATTGGTTGAGTTATTTAGTTTTTGCCAGCGGAATGATTTACAAATAGTAAGTACTATAATAAGAACACTCGCACGTAAACAATTCATTAAACAGATTATAAGATGACCGTAGGCTCACTAACTTTTCTATATAAATACAGACAACACAAGCTTACAAAAGTATATAATCCAAACTCACATTAAAAAAGAAAACAAAAAATGGAAATATTACTCATATTTTATCTGCTACTGATCTCAGTTTCATTTACAACTTCACAGTCTCAGACAGATCCAGAGACTTTGCTACGATGTCTCATAAAAGAAGGCTCGAACCCTCAGAATTTCCTCGCCGAAGTCACATACATCCCATCAAACTCATCTTTCACCACCGTCCTCCGCCGCCGCATACCTAACCTCCGTTTCGACAAACCCACCACCCGAAAACCCATCGCCATCATCACCCCAACCTCGCCGTCACAGATATCTCCGGCGCTATCTTGCGCACGCTCCCTCCCTCTCCAGGTCAGGATCAGAAGCGGAGGCCACGATTTCGAAGGACTCTCTTACACTTCCACCGAGCCCTTCTTTCTCATCGACTTGTTTAACTTTAACTCCGTCGACGTGAATCTCACGGAAGGAACGGCTTGGGTTGATGCTGGCGCTACACTCGGAGAGCTTTATTACAAGATCGCTGAGAAAAGCAACGTTCTTGGGTTTCCGGCGGGTTTGTGTACTACATTGGGCGTTGGTGGACATGTTAGCGGCGGAGGGTACGGAACAATGATGAGAAAGTATGGCTTGTCTGTAGATAACGTTGTCGGCTCCAGGTTCGTTGACTCTAACGGGAATACCTACTTCGATCGAATGTCTATGGGGGAAGAGCTTTTCTGGGCGGTTCGAGGAGGCGGAGCCGCGAGTTTCGGCCTCGTGTTGGGATACAAAGTCCGGTTGGTTCCTGTGCCGGAGAAAGTAACTGTTTTTAGCGTCAAGAGAACCGTCGGAGAAGGAGCCGTTGATCTAATAATGAAGTGGCAGAATTTTTCTCATACTACTGATCGGAATATGTTCGTGAGGTTGACTTTGACTTTGGTCAACGGTACCAAGCCTGGTGAGAAGATGGTTTTAGCCACTTTTATTGGGATGTATCTAGGCCGGTCGGATAAGACGTTGAACGTGATGAACCGGGATTTCCCGGAACTAAAACTGAAGAAAACCGATTGTACCGAGATGAGATGGATCGATTCGGTCTTGTTTTGGGCCGGTTATCCGATTGGTACACCGACTTCTGTATTGCTACAGACGACAGTCACGAACAAGATGTTTCATAAAAGAAAATCGGACTACGTAAAGAGACCGATTTCGAGAACCGATCTTGGTTTAATATTCAAGAAATTGGTTGAGGTTGAGAAAGTGAGAATGGTTTTGAACCCGTATGGAGGAAGGATGGGGGAGATCCCGAGTTCGAGGACACCGTTCCCACATAGAGGAGGCAATTTGTTCAATATTGAGTATCTGATAAGCTGGTCCGAAGCTGGAGATAACGTCGAAAAGGCTTATTTGGCTAGTGTGAATGAGATGTACAAATTCATGACCCCGTACGTGTCTAGTAATCCGAGGGAGGCGTTTTTTAATTACCGTGATCTCGACATAGGATCAGGTGTTAATTCCACGTACGAGCAAGGTAAAATCTATGGTGCTAAATATTTCAAAGACAATTACGAAAGGTTAGTGGATATCAAAACCAAGTTCGATGAGATAAACTTTTGGAGGAACGAACAGAGTATTCCGGTTCGAAAATAATGAGTACGATACGAATGTTGTAACCTTGTGACATGTGTTACAATATTCGACAAAATAAACAACAAGAGATGTATGTATTAAGATTTGGTTCAATACATGTTGCCAAATGTATGATGATCACACACTCGAAGATATATATACAAATGCATGGATTGGTTCATTAATCATTACTATCAACTGAATTTGAATGGAAAGATCATAACTCATGGTAACACATATCTGTCTTTTGTGTATTTTGTACACACTTTTGATTTTTGTTTACATATTTAGATATCGTTATGAATATAGGATTGTGGTTGATTGATTCTTGATTATATCATAAATTTCTTCATACCATTTTATTTCAAATTATCACAAATCACAGTTCAACTTTCTTATTTATTACCATTGTCAGTTCCCTATATTATAATTGGTCTGATTAATATCCTAAAATTACGTAAAATTTTAGTTTAATCACATAAAAACTTTTAACATTCTCAAAGTTGGAAAATTTAAACCGAAAAGTCAAAGTAACCTCACTTTCTCAAAAAAGAAAATTTCTTTAAAAATTTATATATATTTATCTAAAACTCAAAACTGAAAAAAACATTAAAAATGACAAAAATGTATCTCATAATCTTCTTCGTCTTCTTTGCTGCATCGTACTCAATACCATTGAGTTCGGCTGCAGAGTCCGTAACCATCTACGAAGATTTTGTCCGATGTTTCAAAAACAAAACAACCATCTCCGACGACTCTCTCTCCGACGTCGTTTTATCCCGTACTAGCGTTTCCTTCACCCCTGTTCTACGTGCGTACATCAGAAACGCGCGTTTCAACACCTCCACAACCCCAAAACCATCCATCATCATCTTGCCACGTGTCGATCCCCACGTTCAAGCCGCCGTGATATGCGCCAAAACGCTTAATCTCCAGCTAAAAATCCGTAGCGGCGGCCACGATTACGACGGTCTCTCTTACGTATCCGCCGTGACGTTCATCGTCCTCGATCTCTCCAATTACAGAAACATCAGCGTCGATATAAAAGACGGCGGAGGAGGATCCGCTTGGGTACAAACCGGCGCGACGCTCGGCGAGCTTTATTACCGGATATGGGAGAAGAGCGAGATCCACGCTTTCCCCGCCGGGATTTGTCCTACGGTCGGCGTCGGAGGACACGTCAGCGGCGGCGGATACGGACACTTGATTCGTAAGTTCGGTCTCACAATAGATCACGTCGTCGACGCCACGATCGTCGACGTTAACGGCCAAATCCACGATCGGAAATCGATGGGAGAGGATCTCTTCTGGGCGTTACGCGGCGGTGGCGGCGGAAGCTTCGGCGTCGTTTTGGCTTTCAAAGTAAAACTCGTTACGGTTCCAAAAACCGTAACCGTCTTCAGGATCGATAAATCAACTGACCAAAATGCCCTCGACATAGTTCATAAATGGCAATTCGTAGCTCCAAGAACCGACCCGGGTCTATTCATGAGAGTGTTGTTAGCTTCTCCGACGAAGAACAAAACAAGTACGGTCAACGCTAAGCTCAGGGCGCTTTACCTTGGGAGAGCTGACGACGTCGTTTCAAAGATGACGGAGGAGTTTCCCGAGCTTGGTTTGAAGAAAGAGGATTGTCAAGAGATGACTTGGATCCAATCACTCTTGTGGTGGATGAACCATGTTGATGTGGACAAAGTCAAACCGGAAGTTTTGCTCGAAAGAAAACCGGATTCGGCTAAATTCCTCAAGAGGAAATCGGATTACGTTGAGAAAGAGATAACCAAACCAGAATTAAACCGGTTGTTTCAGAAATTGGCGACATTAGATAGAACCGGTTTGGTTTTGAACCCGTATGGAGGGAATTTGAACGCGACCGCAGTGAATGAAACGGCATTTCCGCATAGGCACAAACTATACAAGATCCAGCATTCCACGACTTGGTCTGATGCTGGACCTGAAGCGGAGAGACTCTACATTGGTAACTTAAGAACGGCCTATAGAATCATGACCCCGTTCGTGTCGAAAAATCCTAGAAGTTCGTATTTTAACTATAGGGATATTGATATTGGGGTTAATGATCATGGCACCGATAGTTATCGAAAGGGAGAAATCTACGGGAGGAAGTATTTTGGCGAGAACTTCGATCGATTGGTTCGGGTTAAAACCGCGGTTGATCCGGAGAATTTCTTTAGAAATGAGCAGAGTATACCTACATTACCTACTACAAGAAGGTAAAGTACTTTTAAGTTCATGTGACCTTTGTAACTTCTGTTTAGCGTTTCTTCATGGAACTTGGAATAATTTTCAGTAGATTTAGCTGCAAGCTATATACATTATTGCGGTTTTGAAAAATACCCATCTCTTTGTAATTTACATAGTGATCAAACTTTTAAGAGTCGAAATTGAAACTGTTTCATATTTTGGATTTGCTACATATACTCCATAATTCCTCTTATACTGGGAAATAGAAAACTAAATTTGATCGAACACTCATCCAATAACAAAAAGAAGAAAAAATAACATTTTCCGTAATTATACATACACACACTCTTAAACTAGAATCCAATCCACGACAAAGTAAAGACAAGTTATAAAACAAATATGATGAGACTATACAGACACGCCAATCGCCATATGATGAGTAAGCTCGGTTCAGTTTCTGTTTGTACCGTGCAAAGCAAGGAAAAGACCTATCCAGATAAAGACAATATTTGCGCCGGAGACATTCAACTTCGAGTTTGCTGCATTAATAAATGGAACCCCAGTGAGACTGTTCTGGTTGAGACGATTCGCAAAGGGCTGGTTTTGAGCAGAAGAAGACGACGACCCTTGGTTGAATCCAGTTGATGATGGTTGATTAACCTCAGGTAAAGGTTGGTTTACGGAAGTTGGCTGACCAAGAATTGGTTGGTTGACTCCAGTTGATGATGGTTGATTAAAACCGGTTAATGGCTGATTTGTTCCGGTTAAAGGTTGGTTTACAGAAGAAGAGGATGATGGCTGACCAAGAATTGGCTGGTTAAGTCCAGTTGATGATGGCTGATTAAATCCTGTTAATGGTTGATTTACCCCGGTTAAAGGCTGGTTTACAGGAGAAGAGGAAGATGGCTGACCAAGAATTGGTTGGTTCTGGTTCTCTTGTAGCTTTGTTGGTGAATTGGTGATCCCTCCTGTTGGTTGTAATGGTGTGGTTATTTGGGTTACTTGTGCAGCCTCTGAAGATGATAAAACCGAAAGGCAGAGAAGAATTGTCGTGAGCATCCATTTCCCGGTTTTTGTCTCCATATTTGTGAGATTTTCCAGTGTATATTCCGGTTTACAAAACAACAGATCTTATAGACATAAAAACCGGAGTAGTTAGCTTAAAAGGTTGGACTGAGGAGTTGATGGTGAGAAAAAAAGAGAAAGCAGTTGACCTGAAACACAAATCCAACTAAACCAACAATATTGTGTCTTTGTTTTGTATCATCTACTACATCACTGTTTTGTGTTTATATGTTTTGTGTTTTATATACAAGAACGATAGTATTTATCTATAAATACAGAAGAATGGATCAAAAACCCGTTTTCAAAACGGTACATGCCTACTGGAAAGCGAAATCCAAACCATCAAGAACATCCAAATCACTAGAAGAGTTCTTATCTGAAAGATCGACTTTCGGAGAGTTTCCTGTACTTCTACTCAGTGCCCAAATCTTGATTCCATTCTTGTTCTTCTTCAAGCCGACTAATTCTTGACTCTTACTTACATTAGGACCAACTTTTATACTTTGGACTCTGTCTAACAACAACCTGTCTTCAAGAGAGAGTTGGTTTTTATAGGTGAAGTCTGGGGAGAGGGATAGTTGTGTATTGGAGATGGTCATGTTGTTGGGTGGAGAGACATGGTTGGTTTCGGAAAGCTTGATGCCTTGAATTCGTTTCCTTGATGACTTCATTAGCCGATGAAGCCATACAACGAGTTCGAGTACGTATGTATCAACTTTTGATATATCCGCGTGATGAAGCGTCTGAAGCCGTGTTGGGTTTCCGTTGTTCTCGCTTTTTCCTTTTCCTTTCCCAAACTCTATCCTGTTTTCCACATTTCCATTTGTAGTTTGCCAGATCAGATCAGATTCAAGATTCAAGATTCAAGATTCAAGATTCGAGATTCAAAATTTCAATAGTTGATTGAGAGAATTACCTTGAATTTGCCCATTCACCTACCCATCCGAAGCCTTGATGTGCTCTGTGAAAATTGAATAAGATGTGACGATGAATAAAGTGGACATATTGGACCAAAAATGATGGTGAAGGTAAACTTACTTGGTGGTGTTTGCGGCGAACGGGACAAGCCATTGAAGCGACTTCTCCATTTCAGCTTTGATCTCAGACACTGAAAGCTGCAGAAACACTCAAGTTAAATAACAAAAAAGAAACAGAACCAAATAGTGCCTGGCAATATACTAGAGAAACAGAGATATTTTTTGGATATACCTCTTCCTCAGGATCAAGAGTTTGTAGCCGAGGACGAAGAGCTGTCTTGACGGTAGCAGGTAATGCATTATACAGTGTGTCCCTTACATTAGAAGGAAGTGACAATGGTCGAGACGCCTAGAAAATTTCAAGGATCAGTTTCAACCAGAGAATATATATCAGAATAAGACTGGTAAAAATCTGGATACATACAATATTATCGATTTGTTGGATTAGATTAGCATAGTGTAACGAAAGACCAGCTTCACCTAATCGTTCTCTTCCCTGCTTCCCTCCATTGTCTTTTAGACCTATTGTTGGTTTAGACCATGATAAATGAGATTTGATTTTCCAGAAGTAGGATTATTAGAGGACTAGAAGCATGAAAACGCATTACCGTTATTTCCAAAAACTTCCACAATCGTTTGACGTATATAGCTAACTACATCCACAAGCTTCTCAATTATCTGCAACAAAGAAAATATTAGAATAGCTGGCATATGTAAAATATACTCAGACGCAGCAATTCCATAAGCACTTGCCTCTTCCAGATTCTGGGACCAGAGCGATTTCTTCTGTAAGCTCTTCACGAGTTTCTTCTGTTGTTTTAGTTCATTTTGTAAGATGACGATACTCTCTCCTACATGGACGAAAAGAAAATGAAATCTGGAGCCTTGAAAGAGCTAGGGATTATCAAATAAATAGTAAGACCAACCTTTCCGAGGAAGGTTTAAAGACTCTACTTCTGCAAGCTTTCTCCTGTAATCTTGTTCAAACCTATCTAAAGCTTGCAACTCGTGATATAATTCCTGATAAAGCAAATGCAAGTAAGTTTCAAATACCCCAGAACACAATGACAGCTCACTGAAAGTTCAACATGGAAATATGTGATGGAAGAGTTTTTAAGTGAAGAAAAACAAAACATACAGAAGTGAATCGAGCAAGAGTGACGAGCTCCTGCATCCTTGCCTCTGCCTCATCTTTGGGCAGTTTATGCTGTGAGTTCTCTGTGTCAAGCCTGAAAAGTTATTAGACCAGTGTACAATGAAAATCCACTGGAATGCAAGTGACTAAAAACTAAAAGGCATTGGATAAGGAATTTTCTCGACGCAGAACTAAACTTACTTCATAAAATATCGATCTAGATTGTGCCACTGTAAATCTTTGCACATATTGCCAAACCTGACCACCTCTCCAGAGAAAAGTTCGAGTTCCTCCCTACAAAAAAGGAATATGAATCAAGAAAGAAAATGGATAAAAGAGAAAACGAATGGGGATAAATTACAAAAACACAAACCTTTTGTCAGAAGCAGCAAGACTTTGCAATTCTGCGGTATCTGTAGAAACCAACTTCTTAACTCCCTTGGAACGCAACATATCTTTCTTCATGAACTTGAGATTCTCTTCAGATAGAGATTGCAGCAAAGCAGCACCTTTGGCTATTGTGTTGGCTACTTCAAAGGCCAACATAGTGACTTTGCTACCACGGAACGATGTAACACCAGAGAGCGCGTTTCCCGGGTTACGAGACATGCTGCTTCCCAACGTGTCTAGAACTTCAACGGCTTTCTCTAACCCCAAAACTCCAGCGCGTCCCATAAACGAGTTCCTCTGCATAAACTGTAGAAAAGAACCAAGAACCAAATTATCATCAACACAAATGAAATCTTTCGCATTAGAACAGTACTCAAACATATGATTCATATATGTCCCTAGAGAAATTTCAACTCCCAAAAGGCCATTTGAAAACAAAAACCTTGGTAGAATCATTCCTTAACGGAGGCACCGGTCCAAGTTCACCAGAAAAGTTGTAGACAACCTCATCAGGCTTGGAACTTTTCCGCTTAGAGCTTCCATAATTATCTTTATAATAAGAATCAGAGGTTCTTCTTCTTCTCATGGACTTAATTTTCCCGGAAAACCCTCTTGACATATCATCGTTTGATCTCAACTTCTTCTTATCATCATCTTTGAATCCACAAGAACAAGCACCTCCCATTTCGTCTTCTCCAACAAATGATCTCTCCGGTGGTAAAGCTCAAATCTTTTTAGAGGAACCAACTGTATTAAAACCAACAGAAGAGACCAAAAAAAGAGAATTCAAAACCTGAGAGAAGATCAAGAATTGCAACTATGGTAGGGACAAAAAAAGAAAGACTTGGTAAATGGATTGAGACAAAGTCAGAAACTTTACAAGAGTTTTTATTAAAACACCAATTCACAAGGTAAGAGGAAGCACCGTGGAATCAATGGCTCCATTTGTTTTTGTTTTCTTTGACTTATCATTTTAAAGAAGAGAAGTCAGAGATACGACTATTCTTACTTCCTTTTTGTCATTTTTATAAAAACAAATTTGTTTGTAGAGAAGAAGACCGTAGTTGAAGAAACCTCGCCGGCCCTTTGAACATTGAAAGTGACGCGCTTTTAGCAATGTTTTGGAATTATTAAAATCATAAATTCGTTAGCATAGTCAAACCTTAATTTCAACGCTACTTGTGAAAGTATAAGAGAGAAGAGTATACATGCTTACTGTCTGAAACGTGACGGATGAGGCTGTTTCCGGCGCCGGGAATGTAACCAGTAGAGGTGATCGGGGGGGGATTCTGGTTTGTCTGTTGTTGATGAATTGGGGTGTAGCGTACCGGTTTAATCCTGAACCGGTGAAATTCCGGTTTAATCTCTTGAACATTGGTGAAATCGACCCGGAGAATTTATGGTATGTTGTGAATTTCGGCATTGATTCGATCTATAATTCTCGTTCGCTTTTTCCAATTGAAATGTTTGATTTGCGATGATTATGTTTTTTTCCTTGTTCCACTTGTATCATCATGTATGCAGCTTGAAGAAGAGAAGTCATGAAGCTGGGCTCGGACCGTCGCAAAGGTGAAATGTTGCGGCCCAAATTATATTGGGCCATTTTCGGCCTATCAGAATAAAATTGACAATATGTGTGTAGTTGGTAGTTTCACACAAACAATATTTTTTTTATGTCTTCTGAAGTTGATATTAGCTAATTACTCTCGCCATATCTTGCTATTCCATTTTAATTTTTTTTTTTTTTTTTGGTTCTGGAATCAGAATATCAATATGAAATTATGAATGGTGTTTTATTTTTGTGTGACTATTTCTTCTATTATGTAATATTTTTTTCTGTTATAGGTTAAATATTTGTTATTTAAATGATAAATGATGTTTTAATGTAGAAAAAACAAACATATTTGTGTAAAAACTATTAACATCACTTAAGCAAAGAAAGTATATAAATATTATGAAATTACTGTCTAAAAGATTACTATTTCATGTGAGATAGAAGTGGTTTAAAGTCAACTAATTGTTACGATTCTTCATGTATATATAGAAAAAATCGACACTCTGTAAAAAAAAACAAAAAGTCCATCTACATTAATTTTGAAGTGTTACTTGTCAGGGAAGTAGAAAAATCAAGTAGTTGCGCAGACGGTGGTTTACAAATATGGTAACTAAAGCAATTAAGCTCATGTCTCTCCTTGTCATATAGTCTTACTAAAAGTTTGACTTATTAATTATAGTCTTGGCAAAAATTTGACTTGTTAAGTCCACAAACGAAATACGTAACTTTGTTACCATTTTCTTTTAGGATATAATTAATCATGCACAAAAAAATTATGTTGTTTGCTATGTCTCTGTTTCACTACGATGTAAATTTAGATAGACTCTGGTAAGTAAGTGGTAAATGATACTATTAAGGTCTTAAGGATATAAAGGAACACATGAAAAAGATTGAAAGTACATTTATTGATTGCTTTTTGATCATGATTGTATATGATAACAATCATCAATATAGTTTATCATTAGTTTAAAAACCTTATCAAGAAGAGATATTTTGGCACAATTGTAATAAAATATAGATATATGTGACTAACCTACTTGTGTGTGTGGGTGCTTGCTGCTTGAGCGTGCGAGTGCGAAGTCTAGGATTTTGCAGCTTTACGGCTAAACTAATACTATGTGAACTATGTCTCTTATTTTTTTTATTTCAACTAACCCATTAGAAATTTTTGATATATGGATCGAAAATAACTATACGATGAGTACTAAAATGACTAGCACCCAAAGTTTATAATGATCCATGTGAATATATCAGTCAAATGTTTCTATTGGTCGACATAGAATATTTTCCTAAGTTGAATATATTTCAGTTGTTTAGTGTTGTTATTCACTTGGCACTTAAATAGACAGATTAGATCGGAATCCAACTACCAATTACCCAAAAGGAGTGTTAACGCATATATATTTTTACTTTCGGTATCTTGTGGCAAGCATTATCTACGAGAATGTGGATCATGACACGTTTAGTAATATGGATCTCGATTCTTTCTTGTAAATGATATTTAATACATGTAATATGGAGATAAGAAACCCATACATAGAAAATTTTATAAGATTTTCTTACGTTATCAAAGCAGATTTCAAGATTTGCATGCGGATCATATGTGCCGGTTGGTGGAACTTGTTACCTAGGATATTTATATACAATTGTAGACTTTTGGGTTTTACGGATGGTTGTTCGGTGTTCTGATTTTACCATCAATTTGCATTGATACTATAAGTTCAAATTTTGAGTATTTACAGAACTCGTAACAACTTTTTTATAGCGTAGATAAAATTGTGTAATCAAAATCTAGAATGAAATGTTGAGAAGGTGTCTCTCTAGCTATGAAAAAATAACACTATATATGGACTATGTTTTGTTTAGGCAACTACGTACAAACAAAACAAAGTTCATATAAAGGTATTGGCACCCAATAACAAAAGTTGGGAGAGCAACCTTCAAGTAAATGACAAAACAATTTTGTTACAAGTGAACAAACCTGATTGTTTAAACATTTTGAAAGATTCTTTTAGTGGACCACTAAATTATTAAATGGATTTTTGTTTTGGTTTAATTATTTTTGTAATCTAATTATTTTCTTTTGTATCACGCTTTTCTTTTTATATAGACATCTAATTCGTGGAATTGATCTATATATATCTCCTCATATCCGCATATGATCTAATAATTATTATTTATATGATTCTTTGAAGTATATACAATTTTAATTATTATCCGAATGGAGACAGCGTATTTGATTATGCAGGAGAAACGGTTTTAATATGCGGTAAGGTTTAACTGCGTTATTAAGAGAAAATAAATTTGTGGGACAAATGCAGTTTGCAATGTTTTTGGACTGCTAAGTAAATATTACTTATGTTTTTTAAAAGCGTTTCATGTCTATATATGTTGGTTGATTCTACAAATTTCAAAAACAAATTTCAAAAACAAAATGTGTTTTTTTCAGTAAAGCTAACAAAAAAATATGGATTGAATGCTAACATATGTGCGTTATTGCGGTGCGGAACAAAAGAACTCCACGCTTTTATCGTCACCATTCATTGCCTAAGGCTCATAGCGGTGCGGGCAAATAACTCATAGTCATCTCATAGCAATAACAACATGATCGAACTACAGTTTCATTATTTTCTTTTGAATTTCTTACTAGTTTGGTCAGTAGACGACTATGGAGTAGTCGAGGTCTTTCAGAAAAAAAAAAATATATATGTTTGCATATATAAGCTCTCTCTAATCATATATATATATAAATGCATCAGCGCATAAGACCACCCACTATAAGTTGGAAGTGCATAAATTGGATGGTATAAAACGGACGTTGCTTATTTGTTCTTGAGCTTTTGGAATGCTTTCTCTATTTGCGCATTAACCGGCGCGATTTCTCAATTCCAGTTACACTTCTCGTTGAACAAAAACATAAAACTAATCTTAAAATTATATTATAAAACACAGCCAAAACAAGACAAACCATGTACTTACTCACGCGGGTCGATCATGTAAGCAGTGGGATTGAGTGATAAAATTTCTCATATAAGTTTTCTTTTTGTTGTTTTGTCTGAAGATTAATATGTTATATATATATTCTAAAAATATAATATAGTATATGATATATATCATACAGCTAGAGATGACAGTTTTTCATATAAACATGTCAGCATATCAATTGAGATCAATTTCAGTTAAACTAGTTTGACTTATTTTGTACTTTTATCTTTGACATCATTTTCTCCAAAAACAATTTCAACTGAGAAGAAGATTTGTCGGTAGAGTTGTTTTTTCAACAAAAAGAAATTAGTTGGTTACATAATATTTTCTAATCCTAACATGCATATGGTGTTTTCTTTCGAAAATAAAACACCAATTAAATTTTGAGTTTCTTATTACTTGTATATAAACAGATCAATAAACACACAAAAGGCTACCTACCTAAAGAACCACCGTGATATAAAAAATTAAAATGAATTTTATATAAAGGATTAAAATGTAGCTAACATATGTATGACGATAGGAAAATAATTAACAAAGACTTATGATTCCATTTGCAGGTAATTCTCACTAAAATTGCATTTATCAGCTAATTCTTCATTCAAATTCGTAGTCTGTCAATTAAAATATTAAATACTTTCCGACAACTTCTTCGAAGTTCTAAACGTGGGTTATGTTCTGGAGTTACCAACTGACCATGTTTAAACCAAAACAGAATTAAAAAAATCTGACCATGTCTTGTTGTGAAGTCTAAATCATACATTTACAATCATGTATGTACGTATTTTGCAGTGATAACTATCTTCAGTAAAAATCAATTTTCGTATTCAATCAATTATATATACAAAATTAATTGAACTAACATGATCAGTAGATGGTTATTGCATAGTATTGTTCACTATTTGGGTAAGAACACCACTTGGAGTCTTGGAGACATGTTCGTTTATATATATTAGAAGTGTGATTATGTCAAAAGATGCAAGTGTGATCATATACATAAGTGTGACTGAAATAAGTATATATGGTCCTGGTCCACATATGTCATTGCATAATTAATCTTTAGACAATGTCGTTGATGTCACTTTGTTCCTTTTAAGCTAAATTGGCCACATATATTATCAATCACTACTTATCTAATTACTGTTTGTTTAGGTGATCCTTACACCAAAAAAACAATGCATGTTCCCAAAGGAGTACAACTGATAAGTGTTAATAAATCCATCTAATGCATATTATGGATTAAGAAAATTACTCATAATCATGAAAACTTAATAGAATATTTGTTTATAGACACACTAACACTTTATAGTGGAACAAGTCTATCTAGCCAAACTATCTCAATCACCAAATTAGATCAATTCCACCTAATCTATAACTTTTTTTGGTGAGGTATAGTCGTATAGAGATTCAATCGTTGTAAATTAAAACAAAACATATTTGAAAGTTGATTTTTTTTTTTGTCAAGTTTATTGAATACAAAAATCGATTTTCTTTGAATCATTATAATTTAAATAATCTATTAGTAAAACTATTCGAGTCACTAGTCCCTTTAGGAACTACAAAAGTATAACCAAAATCTACAGGATGTAAACATAGAGGATTATGGAGAATCTCTTTAAAGTGAAAGGAAGTAGGAAAATTTACTTAGAAAAATATGCTCGTTTATAGGTTGGATTTGTTGACTTCTTAAGTGGCTTTGCATTAATTCACAATAATGGCCAGGCTTATTTAGGTTCTGGTTGTCTCAATTATAAAATTACATTATTAGTGTACATCTTTTAATATATTAACAACATGATACTGGATTATGAAACTAAGAAAACTACTCTCTCGAAGATGTATGAACCTTTTCATAAAAAAAAAAGGAAAAAAACACAAAGATGTATGAACAAAATCTGTGAAAAGTAAATATCTAATTTGAAGGTCAAATGGGGAGAATATGATAAATTACAATATTTTTGGTACAAGAATAAAATTGAAGAAAAATATATTTGACATTTGAGCCACGATTACTGGAGATGGTGGTGTCAGTATCTTTGAAATTATGAAGAAATGTGACCCTATAAAGTTTAAACCCACAAATTATGACCTACTTTCAAACAAAATTTATATCATTCTCCATAAACTTGGGGTCATATTTAACTAATAATGAAAACATCTTTTACATTATCAGGTTCCATTTCATATTCTTTTAAATTCTGTCAATCACAAATGAATTCTTGGTTAGATATGTATGAATCGAATGCTAATTAACGATATGACTAAAAAAAAAAAAAAAAAAAAAGCGCTTGATGGAATGATTTGTTAAAAGGATAAATTCCAATTCCATAAGGCTATAAAGTTAAAAATTAAACAATCAAATAAATAGCTAGCCATAATGATTCCAAAATGGTAAAGAAATACTAATTAACAACACTAAACAAAAGAGTCAAAAGTGCATGACGTAAATATTACATCAACTTTACGTATAAACCCATTCCATATCCCTTATTTAAACCCCAACACATACATATGAAACTACTCAACAACAAACTTCAAAACCTCATAAACACACACAAAAAATGGCGTTTGCGTTTCTCGTAACGCTACTATTACTATCACTTTCTAACGTTCCATTTTCTTTTTCCAATGTCCAACAAGACTTCGTGATGTGTCTCGTCGACAACTCCGACGCTTCGTTTCCAATGGACTCGTCGTTCTTCACACACGACCTAAACGCTTCTTCCTTCAAAGCAGCTTTAGAGACTTCAGCTCAGAACCTCCGTTACTTGATGCCTTCGCAACCCAAGCCGGAGTTTATTTTCGAGCCGCTTTACGAAACGCACGTTCAAGCCGCCGTCGTTTGTGCCAAGAAGCTGAAGCTTCACTTGCGGTTGAGAAGCGGTGGCCATGACTACGAAGGCCTCTCTTACGTCTCGGAGATGGAAACGGCGTTTGTGATCGTTGATTTGTCGAAGCTTAGACAGATCAGTGTTGATTTGGAAAGTAATAGCGCGTGGGTTCACGCTGGTGCTTCTATTGGAGAGGTTTATTACAGGTATATACTAATTATACGCTAATTAAAAATCATATGTTATAATTTTTTAAGTTTTTTATATATAATTATTTCATTGTTTTATTTATTTATTTAAAGCTATATGGAGAGAAAAAAACCTCGTAAGTCTTCAGAAAAAAAGTTTAAAGTTTAAAACATATATTAATGTTACGCTGATTAAGAATCATATGTTATAATCTTTTTATTTTTCTATATAAAGGTATTCATTGTTTTATATTATCTATATTTAAACCAAACTTTAAAACTTAACTTATTTACTATATAAAAAACACAAAATGTGATGGTTAAGCTGTGGTTATGATCCGATTGTTAATTTGGTTTATTATTTTATGGTTTTAAAGGATCCAAGAGAAAAGCAAAATCCACGGTTTTCCGGCGGGTTTATGCACCAGCCTAGGCATCGGCGGCCATATAATCGGCGGAGCCTATGGTTCGATGATGCGTAAGTATGGACTCGGAGCTGATAACGTTCTTGACGCCAGGATCGTTGACGCAGAAGGCAAAATCTTGAACCGTGCGGCGATGGGAGAGGACGTTTTCTGGGCGATTCGAGGCGGTGGAGGAGGAAGCTTCGGCGTTATTCTTGCCTGGAAAATAAAACTCGTTCCGGTGCCTGAGATCGTTACGGTGTTCACTGTCACGAGGATGCTTGAGCAAGACGGAACTAAGCTTTTGTACAAGTGGCAACAAGTAGCTGATAAGCTCGACGAAGATCTTTTTATCCGTGTGATTATTCAGCCGGCGAGCAAAACTCCGAAGAGCAAAGAGAGAACTATCTCAACTTCGTACCAAGGCCAGTTTCTTGGAGACTCTGATCGGTTGTTGCAGGTAAAATTAATGGGGTTAAATTTAAAAATTGTGAATATGACGGGTCTATATTGCAATTTATGAAAGTTTGAATATGACTATAACAACAACGGTTTTTATTTGACAGGTGATGCAGAGGAGTTTCCCACAGCTTGGACTAACGAAGAAAGATTGCTTAGAGACAAGCTGGATCAAATCAGTAATGTACATTGCGGGTTTCCCAAGCACGGCGCCATCGGAAGCTCTACTCGATGGGAAATCGTTGTTCAAGAATTACTTCAAAGCCAAGTCAGACTATGTGGAAGAGCCAATTCCAGTAGAAGGGTTAGAAGGTTTATGGGAAAAGTTTCTTGAAGAGGATTCACCATTGACTATATGGAATCCTTATGGTGGAATGATGGCGAAAATCCCCGAGACAGAGACACCTTTCCCACATAGGAGTGGGACATTGTTCAAGATCCAATGGCTTACTTTGTGGCAAGATGGGAAAGCGAGCGAAGCGAAGCATATGGGGTGGATGAGGGAAATGTATAGCTACATGGAGCAGTATGTATCGAAAAGCCCGAGAGCCGCGTATGTGAACTATAGAGATCTCGATTTGGGGATGAATGGTAAAGGGAGTGATGCAAGAGAATGGGGGAGTAAGTACTTTAAGGGTAATTTTGAGAGGTTGGTGAAGATTAAAGCTAAGTTTGATCCAGAGAATTTCTTCAGACATGAACAAAGTATTCCTACGGAAGTTGAGTGAATTTGGAGTTAGACAACAATAAGAGTGTGTGGTATGAGATTTGTCTTAGGAAAATATTGTTACTTCTACTTGCTTTTTTGTGTCTTTTTTTCTTTCTTTAAACATGGTCAACACACTTGTATTTCAAAACCGTAATCCAATCTAATTCCTTATGGGTTCTTCATCCTACTTGGTGAATAGATGTAATGGTAAATTCGCCTAAACCAAACCAAATCGAACACTACCTAAAATTGATGAGGGTTAAGTAAAGTATAGGCTACAGACAGGCCATAGAATGCAAAATCATTTTGAACAATCCAGCAAATTCCAAATTGTTTTGAAACAGAGTTTGAAAGGACCATCAAAAGCTAAAACCAGAGGACATACCTTCATGGAGACATATTGAAGGCACTACTCAAAATTTTTATTACCCTTTAACAAAGAGAATATGCATCAATGGGTTTTGTGTTATGGCGCTGGGAGTCCAACGCTAACTATGGGTTAAGTAGTAGTATGTTTTGATGTTAGACATGAGAGGCTAAGTTTTATCAACCTACCTTCAATGAATGGCATACATTGGGACTCTACTTCAACTTTGATAAACTACAAAAAGGTAACTTAGCTAATGTTAATATTTTCTTCTCGTGTGATACATTTCATTCCTTTGAATTATGGGTATTACAAGATGCATGCCACGGAACATCAATTGTTGATGAAGACATGTAGGCTGCTGAGATTTGGGTTGGAATCTTTAGGAAACGTTCCACTATCATTTCATGGCACCAACAAGATGGACGAACTTATTCATGATCATGGTGAAATATTTCCCAACACTGATTTTGTAATTTATTACTTGCTTTAAACATACGTAAGTTTACAAATTATTAATTTGATAAAAAAAACTTTAACGTTCAAATGGTAAATATTTTTTGAGTGTAATTGGTTTACGGAAACCCTTGAGGGATACTTGGGGTAGAAGGCATCCAAGAATCTGACTCTTCGAATGTCGGAGTGGAGGGTTCGGAATCAGAAGGAGCAGCCTGATCTACGAATGGAAAAGGCGGGAAATCGGGGAGTGAAGGCCAAACCGGAACCCGAAACTTAGGCTTCTCAAGATAAGGAAATGCTGGAGGGGGAGGGGGAGGCATATCAGGCAGAGGCGGTGGAAGGAGAGGCATATCAGGCAAAGGCGGTGGAAGGAGAGGCATATCAGGTGGAGGAGGCGGCGGCGCTACTGCTTCTTGAAAAGATGGGAATTCAGGGAATCCGAGATCGTGGACTGGTGAATTACGACCCGTAGATGGATAATCATCGGCTCTAATCAGAGCTACTTTAGATGATGATCTCACTAGTCGAGAAGACAACGTCTCGTTGGAGTTTAGGAGTGTGAAGAAACTTAGAACGAAAACGTATCTAAGCAAAAGTGAAAGTGATGCCATTGTGTTGATTTTAGCTTTTTGTTTTTGTTTTTTTTGTTTATGTAATTCTATGGTTAGTGAAGATTCATTTTTATATAGGTTTTGAATTAATTTGTTGGCGAGTTTGTGTAATCTTTCCTTATTATTTTTGCATTGTGTTCCTACTTATCACCAACGTATATTCTAACAATTTTTGTTCAAAGTCAAACGTCATGTCAACGAGGAGTGTTTTGACCGATATATCAATATAGATCAACCTGAAAATTATTAGGTCAACGGCAAGAATGAAGTTCTTTCTAGCTCTTATATACGCACTATATGGTTTGGTTTTATATAACTTCAATTTCTTATATTTTTTGGATCAAAAAGATAATATTGTTAAATCTAACAATGTTCGTTATAAGAAAAAAAAAATATAGAGTAAACCATTTGTTTTCGTGACAAACAATTGGTAAGGTATAAAGTTTTGTGGTTGATTGCTACCCTTGATCCTAAAAGTGAAAAGAAAGCTTGAATCATATAAGCAAGCTACAAGAGAAAGATGAAAAGACACAAATATATGACGGTATAGGCTTCCCACAAGATTTGGGGGAATTCGAGCAAGTAAACATATTAAGCTGATGTATCTGATGAAACAGAGCAAAAGTGGAGTAACTAACTTATGTTGTGTCTAATTTCACCAAAGTCATACTAGTTTTTTTAACCTTTTTGACCACCTTCATTTTCAGCATTTTTTTCCTTTTGTATTTTGGTTTGGTCAAATTCATTTGTTTTCTTCTCCTTGTTTTAATTGATGATAATTCCTCGTTTGTTCACAATACTATATATCTGAGAGGTCTTTTGTGGGTAGACGACAAGAATGGAGACTATGTTGTTGTGTGGCAATTTCATCAAGGCCAGTTTCTAGGCTATTGCAAGAGATGGGATTTACATTACCGCGATATTCCAGTAGTGGACCATGTTCAGGGGCCTCAAAGATGTGGTGCTCAAAGGTTACTGTCTTTACTACCTGGCAGACCGTTGCTTTCTGGACAAGATGGTTTCAAGGATGTGTCTGTGCTCCCTAGCTTTCCAATGTGGAAGCCATTAAGACGTACAGCTAATTACAGACCAATGGGAATTGAAAAGCTCATCACATATGGCGATAGAATTGTTGTTACAACATCAGGGGAGGTTTTGTTGGTCTTTACCCAGGCTTACGAGGTAATCTGTGAAAGGCCTAGGATCTTCCGTGTCTACAAGAGGAATCCTAAAGAGCAAGACACCACGCTTGTTGAGGTTGAATCTATAGGTGATGAGGCCCTCTTTTACAATTTGGGTATCACCGTGCCTGCTGACCATACCCTTGGTATTGAGCCTAACTCCATCTATTTCACCCGTGACGACCGTTTCGGTCTCAAGCACGGTAAAAGTCCGTGCCTCGACATATGTGTGTACAACATTGCAACAAGGACTATCAAAGTCATTCCTAGTCTCGCCAGCTTAGAACTCAAGGATGCACAGTGGTTTCTCCCCTCTTTGAATATTTGGTTGTTTTTAAGAGTTTCTCTTGCCTTGTCATTTTCCTATGGATGTGTAATATTAATAGGCAAATGATGTACGTATTAAGGTGTAGTTTAGTATATATTGTAATTAAATATAGAGAATATAATAGCCAAAAACTTTTCTGGTCATCTGATCAATTCTACTAAAAGTGTTGGTACCAACTATCCAGCCTAGATTAAGCACAGAAGAACATTGGCATCGATTTCATTACATTGGGATCGACATGGAAACATTGGACCGAGCGGTTAATGTAAGCTGTGGTTTTTGTGAGGGTGCAGGTGGATGAAAATTACTTGTATCTGACGGAACCAAGATACCATCTATGGGAGGCTATAAAAATCCTGCAAAAATGTCTTTTTTATTGACCAAAGATTATTTTTATTTAACCTAGAGTTATTTGTTACAAAAAGGTAGGAGATTATTGATGATTGTGATATCAATCAACATTGTTTTTTCATACACATATTGCCTCTAAAGAGTCTTAATACGTATTAATTGAGTTACAATTCTAAAAGTCTTTTTGGTTATCGTCATTCTATTGCTTAATCATTCACATTAAAAATAAAGATGTACACAATTTTTATAATTCTCCCAAATATTAAACTACACATTTGTTATTTTTCTTTTATATTTTGAAGTATTATATTAAAAGTCTATCACATTAAATTGCACATGTTTTCTTTTTTTCTATATAAAAAAAACATCCAAAGCACAAACTAAGCTCGTTAGATAATGACTTTTAAAAATTCACATAAATTAATAAGCAAATTTGTTTATTTATTTATATAATTAAATAAATGCTAAACGGCTAAGTTAGACAACAATCGAATGCTCATATCTAGATAAGTGTAAACTCAAACCAAACCGATTTATAACTTAAACTAAACTGGTTTATAAGTTAAATAGACCATTTTATCTCAGATAGTATATAAAGAACTCAGTTCATCTTCATTGTTATAAATCCCCCTTTTTTTATGTATTGTCCATACATTAGAACATAGATGTTTGCAATGTACACATGTAGCTTATAGTTATTTTAGTAGTCAACAAACATTTCTGAACACGCATAACCTAACTTAATATGAAATTCACATAACTCGATTGGTATATGCCTTCCACAATTCTTTTGTTTATGATTCCATCAAAGTCAAAGTAGATGTTTTTTATTTTTGGATTGTATTTTGGTTATAGTTGTTCTTTTACCATTCTATTAGTTTTTTTTTCTAGTGAACTATCAACAACATTACCAATGATTTTATTTCCTTAGATTTAATCTAAGTTGTTTTTATTTTCATAAGATTGATAGAGTAGTTCTTACACCCTGTGAGATTTCAGTGAAGATATACTGCCTACATACAAGGATAACATGTTTTAGATTTTAGATTTAAAATAAGTAGTTTAGATGTTTATTCAATAGTTGTTAAGGCGATGAAATAAAGTCGTGATAGAGACATTTGTGTATCTATTGGATCATCCATCATACGGTTTTCGATCATCATCTCCAATCATTTTTATGAGTTCGTTATTATATTTGTCAAATTCTTAAATATATAAGTAGAGATGGAGTCATATCTATTTGTCAAATTCAGGGAAGTTGTAAATCTTATTGATGATTACATTAAAGATAAAAACAATTTTAAAATAAAAATTGCTGAATACATAAGATTGCGTTGGTTGATGTACGTTTTGGCAACATGGATCACAATAAAAGAAGCCCAAAATACCATTAATAAAAAGGAAAACTAAAAATTGTGCGGCCCTTATTGATAAAATTTGAATGATGGTGATTTCAAATCTTCAATTACTTCACTACTATGCGTATGCGCAACCCTTGTACATTCATATTTTTAAAAATATATAAATCAATATATTTCATATAATTTATATAGTCTCAATCACTACTTTTTGAAATTTATAATCATTGCAATTAAAAGTGCATTACAAAAAGTGTAAATTTTTTAATGTAATAATGGAAAAAAACTTTGAAATATCAATTGTGTGTTTTAAGAATTTTGTTGATCATTCATTACCTCGATTGAAAATTTGCATGTGATGTCTGCCTAATATGAGAGAGTAATTATATAATTCTATTAAATGTTTAAAAAATGTAATTAGAATTATTTGGAAATCTTAAACAATACTTAAATATTTATAATATATCTATAATTGAATTAAATTCTAATTTTGTGTGGGCCTAAATTGTTAAGCTTGGAGAATGGTCTCAACGAATCTTTATCTCGATAATGTATCGACTATTTGGCAAATCTTGATGTGAATGCTGATACTGCTTTTTTTAGGCCGTCCGGATGAGATTTTATCAAAGAATTCACAGAAAGGTTCCAAATCTCTACAATTTTTCAGAAGAAAGCAATTGCACAAGGATTCTCACTTTTTCACACTGGGAAGATGGCGTCTATTAAATGCAATTGTCCGAAGTTTAACTTACGAAGAATGGTTAGTAGTGTTGAAGAGTAATTTGGACCACTAACTATATCTGTCAGCACTAAGCCCCTTAACTATGTAAAAAACCACTAACTATGTAAATTATGTAAATTTAGCAATTTGAATAGGTTTTCAGCATTTTATGTTTTGCATTTAATTATCAAATCATTACGGATTCTGAAGCAATTAAAATTGTTTATTTTGGGATAATGGTTATTTTTTTCTCCTCGACGTAAATATTTTCATATTCTATAGTGAATGAGACTTGAGACATAATAAAAGAAAAGTAAAATAATAAAAAGACATTATTAAATATAAGTATATATATATAAGAAATACTTTCGTTCTGTGTTAAAATAATTTTTTTTTAATACTATAATTTCTTGATAGTGTTTTTTTTTGTGTGAGCTAGTTTTAATATATATATATCTATACTATTAATTGGGAAGGACAACTTGAAGCCAAACAGACCCAATTTAAAAAAAAAAAATTTCATGAAATATATTTCAGTTGCCAAACAAAACTAATGACAGCAAAAATGTTTTAATAAATAAATAAATAATAAAAAACAGAAACTACCTATATTTATGGATCATACTAATTTTGTTGCCAAAAAAATGGAAAATTAAATTCGAAAATCTCCATG